AAAATACTCAAAACACATACAAAATATATTCAAAACACAAAATGCACTACATAGATCAACCTAATATAATAATAAAAATAAGAATTAATACTACTGTGCCAAAAACCCTTCTAAATATTAAAAATATTAGAGGAAAAAAAGTTTGAAAGAAAATTATATTTTATTTCAGAAAAGTTTTTTAATTTTATTTCAGATTAACCATGATTTTATTTGATAAGTATCTGTATTTCATACATATTTTAAAATTGTATCAAAAAACAATAATTGAAACTAAACACATAACATGGCAGAGTTCTTTATTCATAGTTGCACTTGCAAAGCAACTTCTTATTGAAGCTTTTGAAGGAAATTAAACAGCAGTAATAAAGAATCTAATATTTAATTACAATACTAACTGCTTTAACAATAGAAAAAAAAAACAATAGTTATTCCTCAAAGAAGGGATAACTTCAAGAAAGAATTTTTAAGGAAAACTGGTTTGTATGCAATTTACATAAGGAAAAAACCATGAAAACCTAATGAAGCCAGTTTGCTGAATTGTCAAGAGCAGACCATATGATAACCTACATATGTTATATGGCTTTAGCTACATAAGTAATGGTCATGTAACTAAAGCTAAATTTATTTAAAGCTGATAACTATTTATGGGATTAGCACAGTATGAATATTTATGAATATTTTCATCTCATGAATAATATTTGCTATATACAGTACAAAGTCCGTAATCCAGACTCATCGGGACTTCAGCGATTCCGGATTAAGGGTTTTTCCGGATTACAGATCATCAATTTAAATCTGGTAAGATGGCATGCAGAAATTATACAATTGAAAATATGAAACCGTAATTTATGAAATAAAGAGCAATTATGATCTAAAGGGTATCAAAATTTAGGAAAAAAAAAAGGCTTAACATTTATTTGTTTACTTTATTAAACATTCTTTCAATGTAAGTTGTTTAAGTTGCTTCGTTTTTTTGTGTTAAACACGCATGCGTAAAACATACAAAAAAAAAGTTTGTGGCTTTGAGGTTCGAATTATAGATCATTCTGTATAATGGACATCCAGATTACAGACTTTGTACTGTATATATATATATATAAGGATGGTCATAAAAAAGTTCCCCAATACATGAATCTCTAGTGGCCTAACCACTCAATTTGAATTGAGGTTCGAATTATAGATCATTCTGGATAATGGACGTCCAGATTACAGACTTTGTACTGTATATATATATATATAAGGATGGTCATAAAAAGTTCCCCAATATATGAATCACTAGTGGCCTAACCACTCAATCAACCGAAATGAAATTCCAATATTGTTGTTTGAAAGTATGTGCTTGAGATTGCGATCATGATTTAAAACAACAGAGTTATCCCAGTTATGGTTACGGTGAAAAAAAATTGGAAATTTTCAAATAGCAACACCCACTTTTTTCCTATGCAAATTGATCAGCACAATGAAAAAAAAAACATAAATGGCATTGGAATGATATACATATGATGAAAACTGCCAGTGCAAAATACTCACAAAGAACAAACAGCATTATGATGGATTAATGACAACACAGACAGGAAGTGAGTTGATGCACTTTGCATAATTCACAGAGCTAAACAGTAGAAGCATCTATGACAGAACACCATCTGCAAAGAATTGTTTGTGGAAAACTTTTAATAAGCAGTGTGAGAAGACTTACATCAATTAGGTGTTTGAACGTGCTACCAAGATGACATGTACAAGGATAAAACTAGGTGAACTTATAAAGCTGTTTTATTTGAATGGGGGAAATGCTGCAGGAGCAGTGCAAGCTTATTGGCAAAATCATAAGAAAAGGCCCATTTTCATAAAATCTGTATTTGATTTGATAAAAATATTTGAAGAAACTGAATGCACATGTGATGGACTGCGATTCAGATGGCCACGTGTTCTTGTTTAAGTTGTTGCAGAGGTGCATAATAGTTATTGGCAAAATCATAAGACAAGGCCCATTTTCGTAAATCTGTATATGATTTGATAAAAATATTTAAAGAACCTGAATGCACATGTGATAGATTGTGATTCAGATGGCCACGGGTTCTTGTTTAAGTTGTTGTAGAAGTGCGTGATACAATTGCTGTAGATCCATTGCATACTGCAAGAAGTGTTGCCCACAGCTTGAATGTATGGAAAAACCAGTCCTCAATCATATGCACTCTGTTCTATAATGTTTCCTTATTGACTGCAGTGCATCCAGATGTTACAGCATGGGCTAGAGATGAGTTGCAGCCTGACAACTTCGCAAATCTTTTTCCCTCATCAGATATGGTGGAGATAGCAAGTGGCCTCTGTTGATATTATGGATGGATGATGGACCTTTCTCCTTAACTAAGAACATAAACTTCAAGAACTGCACTCACTGAGCTGATGAAAATTCTCTGATGTGACACCAGCACCTTTACACAAAGCTAAAGTGACTGTGAGCAGCATCAAAAGCACATTCATTCTTGGTCTACACTTCTTCAAAGAAGTCACTTCCACAGGTTAGAAAACATGCTCTATCATAAGTGCTCTATACAAAAATGTCACAGAATTATGTAATTCAAGAGTTATAGTGGTGAAATGTCATTAATGACATTGTATGGATGTAAGATAGTGCACCCACACATCGCCGCATGTGTTCAGTAAGTGGTACAACAGCAGCTTGGAGATAGAGTAACTTCCTATAATTTTGCAGTTTCGAAGTCTCCGTAACCTCGAATGTCACTCTAATGGATTTCTGGTTATGGGATTATCTGAAATCGAAGGAGTACACATCAAATCTACAAGATTTATCAGAATTTAAAAATGCCATTAAACATTAAGTTATACAGATTCCTCTTGTGATGTTGCATTCATCACTGCTGTCAACAATCTCCTTATCTTACAATTCATTATCATCTATGAAAGTGGGCACGTTGAAAACTTGTAATAATAATTAAAAAAAAAAACTGTAATTAAAAAAATGTAATTCAAAAAAATTCAAAAATGATGATGAAATCTTCAGGTTCTAAATTCAGAAAATATAGCTACTGCTAGTAAAGAAAGGTTATTGAGATGGTGAGGTTGTTGAGAACAAAGTAATTTCAATTAACAATTTAATATGAGTTCTTGAAATGTCAAGTACAGTACCTGATCAAACTCACAATAATAGAAGTGTTAAATAAAGCAAACACCTTTTTTAAAATTTTGTTTTTTCAGTCATAAAGGCATCATTATTTCAAATTCTTAGTTTTATTCTGTATATCTTCTTACTAGATTTAAACTGATGATCTACTAGCTGAAAAAATACAAATTCTGGAATCACCAAAGTCCTGATGAGTCCGGATCTCAGACTTTATATATATATATGTAAAATATAAAATATCTGTCTTTCAAATAATAAATTAATAATGGCCCTTTAACTTCCCTCTTCATTCCAAAAATAACAGCAATAAATTTTCTAACTAAACTCCCTGCAGTTCTGATGTGCACTTATCCATGAAATCTGACCCCAATATCCGGACATAACCTGTTATATGATCTGAAATAAAATAAAAGGTAATTGCATTGCAACATTTCTCTTTTTCTTCTGCTTCAGCTTTTCAATCTACTGCACTGCCTTGTCACTAGCTAGGCAGACTTTATTTTTCTAATTTTGTCCATTGTTTAAGAAGATGCAAGTTGTACAAAATAGATGGGGTGCATAGTGCACCCACAGTGCTGATGTGCATTATCAAGGAATCAAATTATGTTTCCTAAATCAACAGCCACGTCCATCTTAATCAACAGCCACATCCATCCAAGTGTCATCTTATTAACTTACGCAATAAATTCTCTTCAAGTTATAATGCAGAGAACCATCGTCAATCCGTTGCAACTTTTTTGCACAAAGTCATCTTATTACAACAATGACACAGTCTTAATATATATATATATTTAAATAAATCAGATGAAATTTCATAACAAAATAGAAGGAAATTCTAACATTTAACAACAGAATTGACCTTTTAATGAAAGTGATGAAATTTCAAACTGTCATATCAAAAACTGCATGTGAGATGATGCCACATTTTTTTATGGCTGCACACAAAGCACAATGCTGGTGGTCCTGCTTCAATCTTTTGTAACAATATGCTGCAAAAGCCAATAAATTCCTACACTGCATAATCACAAGGCCCAAATCGTGATTTCAAACACTACACCTCCAAAATGAAGTGGAACGGCTACACAAAACCCCTCTCACAAGGCAAAAAAAAAAAAAAAAAAAAAAAAAAAAAAAAACCCATCAGCTGGAAAAGTAAAAGCCACTGTGTTTTCCGAATTTGGAGGTGTTTACACCAAATTCATGGCTAAAGGGATGACAATAACAGCCAGCTTGCATGACAAAACATTACAGAATTTGAGAAAGGCAATCAAAAATCATTGACATGACAAATTAAGCACTGGCATTATACTAATGCATAATAACGCCAGATCCCATGCAATTCAGAAACCATAAACGTTGTTACAGAAATTTAAAATGGGAGGTTTGGCTCTACTCATCATAGCCCTGACTTGGTTCTGTGCAATTTCCATTTATTTGGACAAATGAAGAACAAACTTTCCACTCAATGTTTTTGAACTAATAATGAATGTACACTGGCTGTATTAAATTGGTTAGAAAAACACTAGAAGAGATTTCTATTTTACTGCAGTGGATAACCTTATTGTATGATGTCACATATGTTTCAGTTCATTTGGAGACTACATCAAAAATGTCTTAATACTTATTCTTTTTAATAAAGAATCTTTATTTTCATTTGTTTTTTTATTTTGTGACATTTTTTAACTCAAGTGTAACTTGCTTTTTAATTTGCATACATAAAAAAAAGAAAAAAACTGCCCATATGTATGTCACTTTATACTGATGGTACATAAAGAAAAACAGGTTGCGTGGCCTACCTCATTTTCTATATCAACTGGAAAATGTGATATGGGTTTCACAGCCATTTCTTCAATACTATTTTCTTTTCTATAATTAAATGATCTGTATTACTATCATTCATTTTAAAACATATCAATTAATTAAAAAATATGGGACTCAAATTTATTTTAAATTGAATATATACAATAGAAAATATACATATTTTTACACTATTCAGTTTCAAACTTAAAGATGCAAGTTTAATACTGCATCTGATATTTAAAATGAAAAAAAATTCGCCCAATTATAACAGACACAAATCGAAATTATTCACAGAAGATGAAACAGTTAAAGTAAAACAGCAGCAAATGTTCATGTGTGAATTTTTATTCTGCATTGGGCTGTGATACATCATATGAAGCTCAATATAGAATAAAGTTTAGCAAGAGTAACTATAGTTTCATTGCACATTAAAATTAAGAAAATATAACAAATTCAACTATCATTTTTGTCTTTAATACCGTGCAACTTTTTAAAATCTATTAAAACATGTGCAGGCACTGCCTGCTTTTAATAGCCATAATTTTGATAAATGGAGCTATATGCAGGAAAAAGGAGAGGAAAAAATTTAGTACAACAGATTCTTAAAAATGAAATGACACATTTTTCACATGAACTTATACATTTATTAGCAGGCTATGATTTTTAAATTTCTTGTTAACATTAAATGAACAGATTTTCAAAGTGTAGGGACAAAACTAGATTTAATATTCTGATATTAAAAGTGAAAGTTATTAAATTAATTTTGATATCATTTGTGTGTTTATGACTTTGACTTGATATGATGATTCACAAGAATTTCATTATTACTTTGTGTTAATTCAGAATTATGATATATTTTATATTAATAATTCATTTGAAATATATGTGCAGATTTTAAAATATTTTCACTTTTTTCTACGAAAAATATAAAAATTCAAATCAGCATATTTTTAACATATGCTTTGAATTTTGAAATGATAGTGATTACTAATGAATGCTTTGAGTTTTGAAACATTAGTAGGGAGCAAACTCCATAATCATTCATCCTTTATATATAAATACTACAAGAAGAAATAAAATTTACACTTTACAAAATCAGCTTTTTTATTCATCATTAATCAAGCCATAATATCAAGATAATAGTTTAAATAGCATTTACTAAACAAAATAGCTATTAAAAATCATTACATGACACAGTTGATTACCAACTTAGTTCACTGAATGTATTTCATTGGAAAGAATATATTAATAGACCTGATTTGTACCATACATTTATCTAAAAATACAGAATATATAATAAATTTTCCTTTCTTTTTTAATAAAATTCAAAATTATCAGAACCCAAAATCAAGCACACAACTGATAACCTTTTAAATTTATTAAAATACGCAAGATAGTAATGTATATTGTTATTGTTTAGACAAATGGAGTGAAGTTAGCACGTATTTACAGATTAGAGAAGCACTGGTAATGATGCAATATATGACTTACCACTTTTAGCTAGTTATTTTTAGATGGTGCCACTAAAATTGGTTTTATTTTAATCGTTTTCCTGGGTATTTAATTTACTGTATCAAACTGATGAGCTCGAAACATGCTTTTTCATCATCAGAAGAAGAGATGCCACACTGTTACTGATCTATAATCTAGTGAGAAATAATATCTAGCTCAACTGTTATGAGTGATGAATGGCATTCTTATGAGAGGCTGGCCCGATTAGGATACATTATTAAACTATATCCACCAAAATAATTTTGTCAATCTTGCAAATGGTACTAATACTCAAACAATTGAACCATGCCAAGGGATTCTACATGACAAACAGAGTACCACACCACAAATGCTTCCATGTTATCTTGCAGAAGCATAGTGAAGATTTGTTAATAAAAGTGATGACTATTTTTGGCCATGCTGTGCAGTATTCATAATGTATGTGGCTGAACAAATTGTAAAAGGTAGCTCATAAAAAGCACTCCTGCTCTTATTTTGTAAAATTGGATGGCATTTAAATTTAATGGAATTAAAAATTTAAAAGATTATTAAATAAATTTATGGAATTATTTTCATTTATGTATTCCTAATTATTTGCATTTATTTTCACATTAAAAATATCATTTTAATGGCCCACCTACAAAATAAATAACTAATTAAAAGCAGTAGATCCCACACTACATTACAATTGCTATATTATAGCATCAGGCTGTTAAGTACAGTACTACTACTGTATCATTTTTGAGCCATGATGCCATTTTTGAGCGTAAATATTTTTTCTGCAGTAACTCACATGTTAAACAACACTTATTTCCAACAGTTAATGAAAGTAAATTTGTTTATGTTTTTCAGGCATTTTTTAACAGACATGTGTTTATGTTTTCAGGCATTTTTCAGCGGAAATATTTTTTTATGGCCAATTAACTTTCAAATACAAACCATGATCTTTTCAGATTTTTTTAGTTATAAAGCATGTAGTTCTGCACCTTTAAAGACCATAGTAGTCCTATTTGGTTAAGGTTCCAGGTTAAGTTCCAAAGTAATAAACTATTTAAAATTACTCAAAACTAATGCTTGAAAAGAAGTAAAGAAATGAACTACTGCATTAAACTATTCTTACAGAACAGGAAAACCTTTATTAAATTGCTTACCTTAGAATCACAAATTTACACGTGGGTGTCATGATTCCTCTGATTACAGCTGAAACATTTAAGTGACATCTGCCATACAAAACTATTCCATTAACCTGAAAGATTACAAAAGATAAATAATATAAATGCATTCAAGCACTGTGAAAATAGAAGGGAGGAAAAAAAAGAAAAAGGGTACTATTCCGTTTTGAGGATCGTAAAAAATTGCAGTGAAAATGTAAAAAGTCGGCAATAGAATTTTGGATAAAGTGCAGAATCACCCACTGCTTGATGTGTTTTTAAGAATTACACATACTCGGTATCCATGTGCACATCGACCTATTTTTACTTAAAACAAATCCCAGAATTGCACAAAAATAGCACTGTGCACACCCTTGACTTTATCTATGTACACATTGACCTATTTTCACTTAAAAAAAATTGACAAAAACCCAATTGTTTTTACCCTTGTAAAAAGCAAAAACAAATAAGTGAGCGATTCTGCACTTTACCGAGAATATTTTCAAAGAAAAGGCATCATCATTGTAGAAAATTATGTTTGAACAACCAACGAGATGAAATTATGCTTTAGCGATAAGTCGGTAGCGAAATAGCGATGCAAGCATCCATTCAGTTATGTCTAGCAATTTTTATATAAATTATAATAATGATCTGAAATAGTTATTTACTCTTATGCTTCCATTCAGTAATATTTAGCCTTTTTTATATAAATTATAATAATAAAAAAGTAATATATGAAATTAACCTTTCATCTAAATTAAAACATCAATCTTAGATAGTTATTTACTATTATACTTCCTTTCTTGCCTCAATTATTAGGGTTGCCGCAATTATTTTTGGCAGCATTTTTTTACGGCCCTCAAAACCGAATAGTACCATAAAAAGAAACTTGCAATATGATTTTTCTAGTTCTATATTAATACTCAAAAGCTGAAATAAGCTTTTGCGAATTAAAATATATAATTGAAATATACTGTTAAACTTGCAGTAAATATTTTAAACTATTTCAAAAAATACTTATTCAGTTGAACTCAACCAGAAAATTAATTAAACATCAACTGCAAAAATGAATTTAGGCTTCTGTGGTCAGATCCAGTTTTGTATGAATTTCTTCTTAAGAAAGAAGTTAAGGATTTTAAAAGTATTAAGCATCAAAATGTAAATTAATTGCAAAAAAATAAAAACACACAGACCTCTAACAACTCATCTCCAACTTGAACTGTACCTAATTTTGCCGCTTTCCCATAAGGATGCAAACCGCAAACAAAAGAGCTCATTTTAGAACGATCCTTATTTCCTGCCAAACTAAGACCAAATCCATTAGCACCTTTCTCAACTTCAACCAACAATACAGTTCCTTTTAAGTCTCCGTACTTTTTCTGAACTTTCTCTGAAAAGAAGGATAATTAATACTGTTAATATTCAACAGGTTCAATAAAGAAATATAAAATAGATTTTACTCTTAGATATCATGCAGGAAGGCAATAACCGCTACACTTTCGTACGACAGCTTTTGGAAATATAATACATGGTAACTAAAGGCAGAAACATATAGCAATTTTTAGCAGTAACATGAAATGCATTACTTTTACACATCTATATTACAATATACTTCTATTTCATTTAAAATAGTGGATGATGTTTCTTCAAGTTCCTCCCCACCACCACCACTATGGCTTGAACCATTCCATTTCCTAAGTATTGGATTATTATATTAAGAAATGAATACAATTTTATAGTTCAGAAATCATTAGGTATTCAGTTTCAGAAACACTCTTCTGGAATACTCTCAGTGATTAAATTGTTACATTAATTCAAAGAATGACAAAATTCATTTCAAATGCTTTAAAAACATTTTGTATAATATAATGGGATCTTTGATATTTTGAATTATTTTAATTTTCAGATAGCAATTTTTTATGCATTCGGCAAATTTTTATTGAGATAATCCATGAATAAATATAAATGCTTGAAAGCTTACTTGATAAATTTTGAAGATTAATAATTTTTCAACAATATATAGAAATCTTTTTTAATACATATTATATATAATATGCATTTAACTTAAAAGAATAAAGAAAACTATCCATAATGTTCCATAAATATCATATATTTCTAGTTTCAGAAATCCTCATCTTGAATACTATCAACTTGAGTAGCCTTATTGGGCATTCACAAAGTTGAGCATAAAATATTAACAATTTCTTTGAATGTATTGCACTTTTTTTGCTGAAACTCTGATTCTTCCATTTTTGACAGTTTATTACATTTAAATTATTTTTTTAGTATGATGCACATTTCAATTAAAGCATCAATAAAAATTTATTTAACAGTTCACTATTTTCTTATGCAACACAATGAAAGCATTTGCTTTTTGTCGACAAATAAGCATGTACTTAACAATTAAATGAAAAGTTGATTTATCATATGTGGAGATACCTGATTTGGACTCATAGATTCAATATTGCTTTTCTCCACTGTCTCAGCATAGCCAGATTTTTATTTATACACTTAAATCTTACATATTCCACAGATATAAAGTTTGAGACTTACTGTTAGTGTATCCATAATCATCTTCTTCTTCTTCATCCTCAGCTATTTTAAGATAGCCAGCACTGTTACGATCTATCTAAAATATTTAAAAGAGGGATAAATAATCATAAATTAATATAATCAATCTGAAATGCTTATCACAGAAGAAAATGTAAAACTGTACAAAATATATGTTAAGGTACACCTTGTTAATATGCTATATACGACGCGTATTCGGAAACTAAGTACCGTTTTGAAAAAAAAAAAAAAAAAAAAAAAATAGTAAAACAATTTTTTCGAATCTAATTTTATTTTTACATGAAAATACATGTCTTAAACTATTTTTCAACATAGTTTCCGCCAATGATCAAACACTTGTCATGGCAGGTGACCAGTTTTTGTATACCATCGTCAAAGAAACTTCCCGCCAGTTTCGATAACCACGACTCCAAAGCATTTTTCATGTCATCGTCAGATCCAAAGCGCTTGCCACCAAGTTTGCGCTTCATGTGCAGGAACAAATGATAGTCCGACGGCGCCAAGTCCGGTCTGTACGGCGGGTAATCGAACTGCTCCCAATGAAACTGTCAAATTAACGATTGAGTGACACCAGCAGTATGGGGCCGAGCATTGTCATGGAGCAGCACAATTCCTTTACTGAGCATTCCTCTTTGTTTGTTTTGAATGGCACGCCTTAGTTTTGTTAAAGTCTCACAATGTCGTGCCACATTAATGGTTTCACCTCTGGGAAGAAATTCAGTAAGCAATATGCCTTTCCTATCCCAAAAGACAGTGCACATGATTTTTTGTGATGACATTGTCACTTTGAACTTTTGTTTTTTTGGAGAATGAGTGTGTCTCCACTCCATCGATTGTTGTTTCAATTCTGGTGTGAAATGACACACCCAAGTTTCATCACCTGTCACAATTTGGTTTAAAAAGTTTTCTCCCTCATCAATGTACCGCGTGAGAAATGTCAGGACACTACCAAGTCGCTTTGTTTTGTGAACATCAGTGAGCATTTTTTGAACCCATCGGGAACACAGTTTGCGATAATTCAAGCAGTCAGACACAATTTCGAACAAAACAGTACGTGAAATTTGTGGAAATGCCTCTGAAAGAGTTGTCATTGTGAAGTGTCTGTTCTCATGAATTGCTTCATCAACTTTCCTTACCAAATCATCGGTGACAACAGAAGGCCGACCACTCCGACCGAGCCTCGGCGTGGACATTTGTTCGACCTGCATTAAACATTCTTGCCCACTTTCTCACTATTCCATCACTTATCGCGTATTCACCATAAACTTCTGTCACTTGACGATAAATTTCGGCCGGTTTAACATTCCTCGCGGCAAATTTAATCACGGCACGAATCTCACAGTCGGCGGGAGAACTAATTGTCTTAAACATTTTGAATGTGCACAGCAAACTGAAAACACAACATAGAGAAACCAAAATGGCGACAATTGAAAGTCAGTGAACAAGAAAGACTAGTGTGCATGCGCGGGACGCCTACCACAGCACTGCGACGGCGCTAGAATGAAACGGTACTTAGTTTCTGAACAAATTTTGAGACTAGCTCTGTTTACAAGAAAGTACCTTATTTGTCTACATTTACCGTGTACAACATACAAAACTTTTCAGCATTTCTGCCACTACTGAAATGTATTCTGGAAGTCGTCTTTTCGAAACATGTCAAGCACCTTCTGGTATTTGCGCTGGGTATCCACAATGGTGATAAAATGGCAATGTTTGAGATGGATCTTCAGCTTCGGAAAATGGTGAAGTCTGCAATGCAGAAGTGCAATCATCTAGCTTTTTTTCAGAAACTCATATATGAGGAGACCACAGTGGCAGCGTGCACTGTCATCAAACAGCAGCCAGTTTTTCACATGCCACACATCCAATTTTTTTCACTGAATATCCTCCCTCAGATGCCTTTAAACCTGGCAATGGAACTCGCTATTGATGGTCTGGCCCCAAGGCAGAAATTCGTGATGTGCAATGCCTACAAATGCTGAAAAAAAGATTATAAGCATGCACTTAGTCAAGTTGCAAGACCTGCATCACCTTTTTCGGTCGTGGAGATGATGGACTGTTCCACTGTGAAGACCATTGCTTTTTCTCAGAGTCATACCCGTACACCCAAGTTTTATCACCTATAATGAACCTTGATATGAAGGATGGGTCATCCATGGCACACTGAAGGAGTACTTGGAATATGCTAGTGAGGTGTTTCTTCTGTTCCTGGGTCAGCTGCCTGAAGATAAACCTGGCAGTAATACGGCACATGTTGAAATCACACTTGAGGATTGCCTTCAATGAATAAGACATACCATCAACGGCAGCAATGCTGTAGATTGTCATCTGACAATCCTCATGCACAAGTTGCCATGGTTTCAACATTTTTGGGTGTTGTGCTCAACGAAGATCACCATCTTCCAATGATCATCATCTTCCAACGAAGATCTTATCATCCTCTTCCAATAATGTTCTTCCACTCTTACAACACAAGAGCCACTCAAAACACCTTGAACAGCTCATCACTGCATTGCTGTACACTAGCCGAATTATGTCAAGCATCTCTATGCCAGATATGACCAGTTTCACACAAAATTTCACGTTTGCTTGGTGTTCTAACTTGTTGTCCATAATGAAATCACAGACATGGTAACACTTGTGGTCAAAATAGCACCAACTGCTCTTTGATACTACCTCTTATAATAATTATACAAATAATAATAACACACATAATTATACAAATAATAATATATATAATTATATAAATTCACTTATAAAAACATTAAAATTGATGTGTTTCATTAATTTCATTCTAATTTTTATCACTTTAAAATATTTATATCAAAATAAAAGAATGAAGAAATTGGGGGTGGGTTATTGCATCATTGCACATCAGCTTAAAAAACAAAGGCATATAACCTCAAATGGCATGTTCAAATGATGATTAAAAATGATACAAAACAATGGAACTCTTTAGGTATTTGGTGTCTTCAAGCAATGGCAATATACAATGAAATGGAAAAATTTTAAACACTGAAAATTACTTTAGAATTGGTTACGAATTATCACATAAAAAATTAAGCCTGAAAAGTACTGATATGTATATCAATATTTGAAACATAGAAGACCAACAGGCTTCCATTTGATAGTTTACAACCTGACAAATATACCATATTATTATAAAAAAAAAAGAACAGAAAAAGATATACTAAAAGCATTCACGCAAAAATATGCCATAGGCTTCAGACGAAAAGAACATGCCACTAACAATTCAATGGATGAACCAGATTAAGGTTGCATTAAAAATGTAATCCTAACAGAAAATTGTTACCTTCACAGAGAAGACCAATGTTATCTTTTTTAGGTCCATGTTTAATTAGTCTTTTTTTTAAAAAAATTTTTTCCAGCACAATTATGAAAGAAAAACTGTACAACGTGGACCCTAGACAGACACTAGACAGCACTGTGAATTTCTTCAGTTTCCTGACACACAAAAATTCTAAATGACTCTACAAGTGGTGCCCGAATTAAAAAAGATGAGAGATAATAATTCACTACCACCAGGATTAGGCAACTGTGTACCCTCATGCCCGGTCACCCATTAAAAGGAGGATTATATAAAACATTTTCTCCCTCCTTTCCACATATATACTTTTGTGGCGTAATTAAAAGAATGCATTCAATGTGCATTCGGGAGGTCCAGAGTTCGAATCAAAGCAAGAGCACTGCACATTTTTCATGTTCCAGCACTGATATAACCTAATGATTCATGAGACAAAGAGCTCATTACAGAAATATTTTTAACAAACACATATTTTATCTGAAAAAAAAATTACAAAGAATAACATAATGTAATACAATTTTGGTACTTTAAATTATATTTTATTTAATTTAATTAATAACTGGCATGCCTTTCTTAAACCTATACTATATTTTTTAAATTACATATTTATACCTTCAGAAATTTAATACATAGTTTTTGATGCTCAACAATTTGAAAATAAAATTTTTATATACAAAAAAATTAATTAAAAGAACTTATTAAAAACAAATCACATATCAACAAATTTTCTGAATACATTATTTTATAGTTTGCTTTTAATTTTAATATTTCCTATAGAAGTAATTAGCATTTAAATTACCTTAAACAAATACCTGAAAATCATTTAAAACTAAAACAATTTTTTTTATCTATAAAAATAATAACATTCATTAAGATTTTTTGGGGGAGGGACAAATTGAGATAAGATAACTACCTCAACCCCTTTTGAAGTATAAACCTTTCCTTGGAAATCTGTATCTAGCAAAACATCTTCATCTTCAGACATAGAACGCTGTTTTAGTTTCTCAGCATGAAATGAACTTCCAGTAACTGGGCTACCTGGAATATGGCCTGGTGAAGGAGTTTGTGCAGCATTCTCATAGTTGAAAGGAAACTATAAATATATATATAATACTTACTCTTTAAACAATCACTGAATGACTACAAAATAAAATCTCAACAATATTACAAAAGGAAAATTTTAGAATGTTTGAAATTTTAAATCTAAAATTTTTAACTTTCATTTAATTTTACACAAGGAAAAATGGAACATATTTCATCAATAATAATATTATATATATATACATGTATTCATAACATATTCAGTAAACAGAGCTTAACTTTGCACAAATAATTCTTGTAAACAATAAAAATGCCATTTCTAGCATTATCAATTCACAATTCATCTTACATGCCATGCATATGAAATAGAATTTTATTGAGATAGTCAGATATTAACAAAATAAAAATACAGTCAAAAGTCGTTAATTCGGACACACATAATCCAGAATGATCTATAATCCGGACCTCAAAGCTACAAACTTTCTGCGCATGCGTCGCGTTGACGCATGCGCGTAAGACATTTACGGCTGCGCCGAATATGTGCATGCGCAAAATACGTTTACGAATGTGCGTTTAATGTATAGCGGACGGTATAACTAAGCTAAAATTATCTAATTCAGTTAATGTTGCAGATTGCATTGTTCCTTAATCTTCGAATTGGATTCGGCTTATTATTTTTTGCAGACTGTTAGAGCAGTTTTATAAAAGTAAGCTTGAACTTTCGATTATGTCAAATAGAATTTATCAGTCAAATAGAATTATATTTACTAATATGTAAAGGATCTACAAAGCGAAAGTATGTTTCGAAGTAAATTAAACAAAAAGTAGAATTGCTGCAAAAAAATGGATAAAGGCATATCCTTTGTTTATCTTTAATGCTGCGGCGTGCAATGAATTGGAAGTTGATCTGTCAGCACTATCCTTATCTTCAGGGCAGATGTTTTTATTTTATTTGGCTTATAATTCCTTACTAAATGTAGTATTTCATCTCAATGTACTCCGTCTTTGATATGATTTAAATCCAATTCCTCATCATTATAATTCGCTTCCGATAGCGAAGAAAGTAACAGAGGTTATTGAAAACGAAAAAATTTCGATTGACAAATTAGTCGGTATTCTCGACACAGCAATTACAGGACTTGAACAGCGGAACTTTTTAACTGAACAAGAAATTATGTCTGTTTATAGAATTAAAGAGAATGTATTATCCCATAAAAAACGAAGCAACATAAACAACTTACAGTGAAAGAAATGTTTAATAAAGTAAACAAATAAATATTAAGCTTTTTTTTTTGTAAATTTTGATACCCTTTAGATCATAATTGTTCTTTATTTCATAAATTACAGTTTCATATTTTTAATTTTATAATTTCTGCATGCCATCTTACCAGATTTAAACTGATGATCTATAATCCGGAATCGCCAAAGTCCCGATGAGTCCGGATTAATAACGTTTGATTGTACTAATTGTAAAGAAGCATCTGTAAATACAAACGAGTTCATGCTACATACTGAACATGTGATTGCATTTTGAGAAAGTCAAAAGACAAAATACTAGAATATCTGAATAATTTAATCTACAGACATCTGGACAACCAGGAATTTTTTTTTTTCTTGCAAAAGCTAGGAATGGACAAAAACACATGTACTATGAAAGCAATTTTTTCCCAATTAACTGTGATTCCTGCATCTCACTTTCAAATACCTGCTAAAATTGCAGTGTTGCCAATGGCTACTTTCCTTCACAATGATCACACTATTTGCCTGAGTGGCTGTGGAGGAAGGGTTAGCATTTATTTTTCTATTTAACTAATAAGTGAAGCCCCAAAACATAACTGTTTGCAATAGGATGTTGCTTATACTGATTTTCTTTTGTTGGTGCAGATGTGGAGAAGGAAGAAAGATTACTTAGTTAGTTAATTAGTTCAGTTAGTTAATTATTTTAATTACTTTAGTTAACATAGCAAATTACCCTCATCCTTAATTTTCTAATTTCATCCAGATTATTATTTTTTGCAGTTTATTATTATTACAGTTATCTTATTAAAAATAAAGTTTGAATTTTTGATCAGGCCAAATATAGTTTCCACTTCTGAAGCAGCAGATCCTGCTGCAATTTGAGAATTAGACAATTATGCTTCAATGACAAGTAAGCAAAAAGTGGAACTGCAGGGAAAAAAAATGCATTAAAAAGTTTAAAGGAAAGTTTGACAGTTAAGTTTAAGGATTACAAAGAATATTTTAAATAAATTTTTATTTAATGAATTATATCAATGTCTTTTTACACAAATAGCTAGCTGAGTTAATTAACTCGACTCAAGAGTTATTACTGACTGATATTACCAAAGGCTACATTATTGAAGGTTAAATTTCAGAAACAAAACTAAAATGCACCATAAATTCTTTATGATTTTTGCAAATGCCATTTAAAATCATTTGTATTTTAAAACATGTAAGCATTCTTTATGATTATAACTGTACCCAGATTTATTTCAAATCCTTTAAAGCAGTTAAATCACAAAACAATTTAAAATGTATATCTTGTATTTTATTGCTAAAATGATGATGATATTTAAATATTATTGCCACTGCTCATGTTTCACATTAACCCAGCTCTACAATAAATGTTAATGTGGAACATTTGTTGCCATTATTAAAATTCATTAATGTTTCAATAATATTAGTTGTGAAGTTTTTTGGACAGAATTTCTTGAGAACAAAATTGAAATGTGAGATGCTCGATGGACTATAAACTAATGAAATCACTACCTGACTTTTCAAATCTATCTTGTCTACTAATGTTTGAGTGATTAAGTAATAAACATTAAAAAAATTTCTTTCCTATATATTATTAAAATGCAAAAATATTAAATACACGTCAAAGTTTTAAGAATTTTGGCTAATATTGTTTTTAAAATTTGTTAATGATTCATGGGCAATTCTGACCCATGTTATCCATCCTAAAGTTAACATACTTTCTCTTCATTTTGAACCCACTGATGTTGTCACTAAAAAACTACATTGCTATCCACTGATTTGCTTAAATAGAACATACACAAAAATTCACTGAATTATATGCTATGTTAATTATACAGAAAAAAATATTTAAAATCATAGTAAAAGTTGGAGTATCTGAAAAATTAGGGAAATGCTGAATGCCAGATAAGTGAAAATTCTGCATAGTTCAACATATAAAAAAATGTGATTCACAGTCAAAAAGCCAAAAATGGAAGAAGAAACTTACATTCTAAAACTATGAAAGTAATCTTATTTGTTATCAACTTGAATATCAAAAGTATATGTCTAAAATTATGTAAGAAAAAAAAAAGTATTTCAGATAAGAAAGCCAGAGTATTTTATAGATCTTGAAAATACAAATCTTATCTGGTGATAAAATCCCAAGGAACCACAAAAGATGGCATAGATACTGAGAAACTTGTATCAGTCATGCCCTAGCAGAAACAAAACATTGATAATCTATTTAGTTAGGTAATGAACAGATACAAGTTATGAATATGCAAATACTCTACACAATGCAGCACATATATGATTGTAGACAGAGTTTGAAATAAAAGTAGGTGTAGCTAGAATTTGATATCTCACCCTCTTTGAGAGTACGAATTAAGTTTTTGCAAAAAGTAAAAATATGTTCTTAATAAAAAATTATAATCATTCTCGTTCTTAAATAACATTAGTTAATTCTTTCAGTATTAACTTTTTAGCAACATATTAAGTCAATAAAAAAGCTACAGAAAAATGTGTTCCATTCTAAAACTTCCACGGAGTGAGGCCAGATGTGAATTTACTACTAAGCAAAATAAGCATATGCTTCAGGCATTCATGAAAGCAGAGCACCACAAGAAGGTATTAAAGAATTCAGGAGAAGAGGCAGCACAAAAACTTTCGATTGCTCGTTTTACCATGGAATGTATGGTGCAACCAAAACAAGATTGAGAGCAAAGAAATGAGGGGGAAAATTAACGCAAATGTACAAGGGAACAATAAAATCTTTTAGTGTTTAAGATCACTAAAAGTTTTAATCTGGCCCTGGAGTGAGGAGAAATTACTTAAATAAGAGAAGATGCACTGATTTCATCTTATCAAGCCTTTAATAAAACCAAGGCGAAGGTCTTACAGTTGTGTTGAAAAGTAAAGCTTATCTCTTGGTGCTATGTGTTTGGCAACACTCTTGTATACATGCTTCATGATGGCTTTACAAATCTTTCATTTGCTTACTTTTCCAAGAGGAATGGGGTGAGGAGTTTCTAAAATTTTGAAATATTACCATTTACCTGAGCTTTCCAGTTAGTTACTTAAGCCTGCTGAATAAGAATGCAAGACAGTCAAGCTTTAACTATATTCTGTTTAAAGAATTTTACTCTTCTCTTTATCCTCAAATGGATCTCATCTCAAAAACAGATAAAAAAAATTATCCAAAACATGTCAAATTTTAAAATTGAAAATAAGCCCAACATAAAATGTTGGTTCTCATGCCTCTTAAATTACTAACTATAAAATTCAGTTACTATAAGGCAGTTCTTTAATATGAATCATTATCACAGGATTTAAAAAGCAAAACATCCTGTGAAGAAACAAATAATAAAAATAGTGCAGAAAATTTTCACTGCAATATTATAAATTCCATAACTAAACAGTATTTCAGTAGGACAAAATTTCTCATAAAATTCTGTCATATTTACATTAAAAAACTAAATGCAGCTTAGCTTTACTTTAAATTTGGTACCTATTATTAAGTTACGACATGCAGTATTTTAAGGTTTTGAAATACATACCCAAGGCACTAAACTTTGCACAGTAAGTTTAATAGGATTCTCTGCATTTTGAATAGTTTCAATTGCTTCTTTGTAGGAAGCATTCTGCAGATCAATTCCATTGACCTTAAAAAAACATAGATCGATATTCACATATATAATAACAGCAAGTTCTTTAATTCAATTATTTATGATAATCATAACTGTAAACTGTTGCATTGGAAGTATAAAATAGTTAAAAAACTGAATACATAATTTCACAAAATTCACAAGACATATTCAGCATATTTTAATTTTATGCTGTTTTTAAAAATTATATCAATTGGTAAAATCTAAAAGATTACTCAGCTATGAGCATCAATTTGATATTACCAGTTTCAATAATCATCTAGACTTAAACTGGAAAACATGTTGCAAGGTCACATACTTTTTTAACTGTGTTTAGTTAGGAAATTGAATAAATAATAAACAACATTTCTTGAAATTTATTAAATTTTATATAAGTCTTGGTAAACTATACAACCAAAATTTTAAACATGCAACATATGCTAATCTACTGAAATTTATATTGCACTACAATATTACATAACTTAAATACACTTACAAAATTAAGTTGGAATATTAATATATATTTATATCATACATGTAAATTTTATGACACCATAATAAATTCCTATCACATATAAATAATTTTGTACATCTAAATAACAGAAAATGATAGGATTCAAGGATTAAAAAATACATAAAGTTTATAAAATCATTTCCTCCATATTTGAAAAACTGTATCTTTGCAAAGTTTTATTTCTCTTTTCAACAGCAAGTTGAAAATTTTAAATTAATGTGATACAGTCAAACTACATTAACTTCTTATTATAGAAAAGCACGCGAGGACTATTTGACTTATGTGTAATCCCTTCGTTGAAGGTACTGTCAAGGACACTTGGTTATACTCATATTATACAACTGAAAAATAAAATTAACAAATTTAAACTTAAAAGACAATTTGCACAGCCTGAACATTCTGTTGGAAAGAATTAAACCCAAGATGAAAAATGCAATTTTACAAACTAGGATTGCCAAAACTTTTAATGATATAACAGTCAAAATAAATACTAATAAATAAAATTAGATAATAATAAAAATAAAGATTTTGTACCTTATAAATACACGATACTATTTACAAACTATTAAATAACATCACGGTGAACAAATGAAATTTTCTTTAAGATATATTACACTATTAAACAACATGTTTCAAACTTCAAAAAGTTTCATTTCAGTATATTGATTACACTTGCATGTGTTCAAAAACATATTTGTAAATAAATAAAAAATAATCCCGCAGTTTTAAAGATTTGTATCTGTATTATTTTTTAGAATACTTATACCAGAATAGAAACTGTCCTCCATTAAAAAACTTTGGCTGGCTTCGGAGCCAATTGCTAGAACCAATGCTACCACAGCAGCTGCAACAGACATCAGAAAATGGGGCGGAAAAATTATGGAGGCAGTAAGGCTAGGAAGGTTAAGGTTGCATTATGTAGCAAAAAGGCTACTTCCAGCCTCAGCTGGCTTATATTTTATACGGTATTTCTCCTGCCTTTTTAGTATACCTTCATGATGTAGTGGTCAGCCCATTGAGCACATATTCGAAGGGTCCAAGGTTCGAGTCCCGGCAAGGGCATTGCACAGTTTTTATGTCCCTGTTTCAAAATATCATGATGTCTGTACGGTGGCACCCAAACTAAAATGGTGGTGTATGATGATTCTCCATTACCCGGATTTGGCGATTGGGACCCCTAATCCCCAGTCGCCCTTTAAAAGGGGGAGTATGTAAGCTATTTCTCATGCCTTCGTGGTGTAATGGTCAGCACACTCAGTGCATATTCGACAGGTCTTTGGTCCGAGTCCTGGTCAGGGCACTGCTCATTTTTCCTGTCTTCTGCTTCTAAATAACTTAATGTCTTTACAACTTGCTCAATACATATATATAGGTACAACACCATGCCTATTGTCCAGCACTTCTAGACTATTGAACCCTCCATGTAACCCAGGCAGACAGTGATTACACTTCATGGAAAGTGTTCAAAATAACTTCGTGGGAATGCATTCTTCAGCAGCCAATATGTATGAATACTGAAGAGGTGTAATACACAAATATAGCAGGACTTTCAAACTTAATCAGACACACACTCTTTTGAAGTTATTGATGTTTCAAACGAGGACTGGAACTATTTCTTTAATTATTGAAAATGACATTATTCTTGTTTCATATTTGTGTAAAGTGAACACTATAATCAAACCAATGTCTGACAATAGATGGCAATAATAATTTTATTTTGAAGAAGATATGTTTAGAGTTTGCAATGAATGAGCTGAGTTTTAAAGATGTGATGTGATGATAGAGGTCCCAGCTGACTTCTAAAGGTATAAGATGTTGACCATTCTTTAAACTGTGTATACATTTGTACGAGGCGTATTCGGAAACTAAGTACTGTTTTGAAAAAAAAAAAAAAAAGTAAAACAATTTTTTCGAATCCAATTTTATTTTTACATGAAAATACATGTCTTAAACTATTTTTCAACATAGTTTCCGCCAATGATCAGACACTTGTCATAGCGGGTGATCAGTTTTTGTATACCATCATCAAAGAAACTTCCCGCCAGTTTCGATAACCACGACTCCAAAGCATTTTTCGTGTCATCGTCAGATCCAAAGCGCTTGCCACCAAGTTCGCGCTTCATGTTCAGGAACAAGTGATAGTCCGACGGCACCAAGTCCGGTCTGTACGGCGGGTGATCGAACTGCTCCCAATGAAACTGTCAAATTAACGATTGAGTGACACCAGCAGTATGGGGCCGAGCATTGTCATGGAGCAGCACAATTCCTTTACTGAGCATTCCTCTTTGTTTGTTTTGAATGGCACGCCTTAGTTTTGTTCTCACAATGTCGTGCCACATTAATGGTTTCACCTCTGGGAAGAAATTCAGTAAGCAAAATGCCTTTCCTATCCCAGAAGACAGTGCACATGATTTTTTGTGATGACATTGTCACTTTGAACTTTTGTTTTTTTGGAGAATGAGTGTGTCTCCACTCCATCGATTGTTGTTTATATTCTGGTGTGAAATGACACACCCAAGTTTCATCATCTGTCACAATTTGGTTTAAAAAGTTTTCTCCCTCATCACTGTACCGCGAGAGAAATGTCAGGACACTACCAAGTCGCTTTGTTTTGTGAACATCAGTGAGCATTTTTGGAACCCATCGGGAACACAGTTTGCGATAATTCAAGCGGTCAGACACAATTTCGAACAAAACAGTACGTGAAATTTGTGGAAATGCCTCTGAAAGAGTTGTCATTGTGAAGCGTCTGTTCTCATGAATTGCTTCATCAACTTTCCTTACCAAATCATCAGTGACATAGATCATCGGTATAGAGCAACCAAAATTGCGACAATTGACAGTCAGTGAACAAGAAAGACTAGTGCGCATGCACAGGATGCCTACCACAGTGCTGCAACAGCGCTAGAATGAAACGGTACTTAGTTTCCGAATACGCTACGTATTTTGATTCTTCTCCCTATTAAAATGACTTACTAAGCATGAATATATTAATTCATTGCATCAATTAACTAGATCTCAAACCTACACACACACTCACATATACACAAATGAGGCAAAACATTATGAACACGGATAACATTGAGCATAAATGATTAAATAAGAGTGGTATTTAACTGCTGCTGAAGAAGGTAAGGAATCGTTCTTGCACTTACTTTTACAAGTGATGGGAAAGGCTGCTGATCTAAGAAAAATTTGATATAGGCAGACTTTATGGCCTGATGACTCAACAAGTCTCTCCAAAAATGCATAACTGATAGGTTGTTCACAGTCTGTCATTGTTAGTATTATTGCAAAATGGATAAATGGTGATGAAACCAGCAGTACATGCTAAGATGTGTTATCATTGAAAACAGATCAAAGAAAAGGGGTGTCAGACACTGTCCCACTTGGTACATCAAAATCGGTACCAGACCGTGACTCAGCTGACAGCCTAATACAATGCAGGTCCAAGTGAAAGTGTTTCAGAACACACAGTTCAGCAGACACTGTTGGATATGGGACTATGCAGCAGATGTCCCACTTATGTGCCTCTGTTGGCAAAGTGCTATTGTCAACTACACATACAGACCATTGATAAGTGGAAGACAGTTGCCTGGTCAGATGAATCATGATTTTTCATTCATCATGTCGACGGTCATATCAGGGTATGCTGTCTTCAAGGCAAACAGTTGCTCTTCCACATACAACAGGTCCTACACCAACTGGTGGTGGCAGTTTATGCTTTGGGAGATATTCTCATGGGCGGCTCTGGGACCCTTAGCTGTGGTAGAACAAACCACGAAAGCTATGGACTATCTGAACATACCTGAAAATCAGTTACACCCTTACATGGTGTCTATCTTCCTAAATGGAAATGGAATCTTCCAGCAGACAAACACCCCATCTCACAAGGCTCAAACTGTATTGGAGTGGTTTGAGAAGCATAAGGATGAATTCCAATTAATGTCCAGGCCACCTTACTTGCCAGATCTTAACCCAATAGAGCACATATGGGATGTCATGGAGTGGCAGGTCAGAGCTCAAACACCACCAAGTCAGAATATCTTAACTTCACCTGACCACTGCTTAAACATTTGGTACAATCTGTCTGCAGTCATCTACCAAGAACTTGTGACATCCATGTCAAGGCAAGTTGCAGCTGTTTTGCAGGCTTAAAGTCATGCAATGTATTACTGAGTAGGTTGTCATAATGTTTTTGCACTTCAGTGTATATATCTTGCCCCCTATATATATATATATATATATATATATATATATAAACATGTATTCGAGCAAAGATAGAAATTAATTATATAATCTTACTTAATAGCACTTTGACAAACATTTCATTTCTTATGGAGGGAAACAGTTCCCAAGCATCTGAAACTTGATAAACATTTCTTGGTAATAATTCCTAGCCTCAAATACAGATTTGGATTTTATTTCCTTAAGATGTGAAATTATCTTAAGACTATTAATATAAAACAAAAAACTATCATTCAAAAGTTACAATTTATTACACTTAACACATATAATCAATCTACTCACTGCAACAATGCGATCACCCCGATTTATCGTTCCATTGCGACCTGCCAGACTGTCTGGTACAACATGCTTAATGAAAATCCCAGATAATGGGGTTCCAGATTCATCTTCTTGTACATCTATACAACCCATAACTACTCCAATTCCTATTTCTTGACCTGGCTCACGCCAGAGTTCAACTGTTCGATTAACACCCCATTGGCAACCCACAGCTGTCAGTAAAGGACTAGATACAGCAGAATTGGTTGCATTGGTTGCTGTAGACACTTCAGCATTTGGTATCTCTGGTATGGAATCTGGAGTTTCAGGAAGTTCTGGGCTTTTCTGTTGCTGAGGAGACTCATCTAAACAAAATTAATTTTAAAATCTCATTCTAACATTATTGAAAATACCACTAAAAAGTCTAAGATTGATATTTCTTATTAAAAGTAATTATACCAGTAAAACACTAAAATAATGTGCAAGATTTACAAGAATCATTATAAACAATTTGAAAATGTTACTTGATATTTTGTATTAAATTTTGTTAAATATTTTTTTTTAAATTTCCCTTTAAAATTCCACATATTATAATAAAACAAAAAAAAATCTTGTGTGTACACCACGACTTCCTTGTACGGAATATTACATTATATGCATTTTTCCTTGCATTTCATTTAAGCTTATTGGATTGAATTAAATCTACTTTGCCGACAGCGCATAAACCACAGTAGAATAAATGCATTCTTTAAAATTCATTCTAGTATTTGTTTACCATAGCGACAATCTGGCGCTAGATTCACTTAACAGTATTATATTTCGTTCATATTATAATTCACAATGCACAAAATTTATATCATTTAAAGAATAGAATTATCTAATCGTTGCCACATGTTCTATTCAAATACTATAATAAAGCTAGAATGATGTATAAAAGAAATTAAGCAAACAAAACAAAAAAGAAACAGTTTTTCACAGACGATTGAGTATTTCTCATTCAATTAATTCAGTTCTCACTCCGTGAGAAGGCAAAAATACATAAAAACTCAAAATACCTATATTAAAAATTACGAAGTAAATCTTAAACACTTATTTTCTTGAAAAAATTCCAGAAAGGATTAAGCATGATTTAATTGGCAATAATAAACGAAGGCGTTATCTTCGTTGTTGCGAAGCTAAGTTTCTCTAGATTGGCAACAAATCCACTTGTGTGCTCTTTAAAATTGTTGATAATTCTAAAAATATTGCATACAGATTTAGTAAAGGCATAAAACCCTTAACCGGAAGATAAAAACAACATAATTCAATCATTTTTAAAGCAAAAAATGTACAATTTACAAACATATACGAGTAAAGAAACTGAGATCACTGAGCCAGATAACAGTGTGGATATATATATAAATATATTTATATACATTTGGTGCAGCCGATTGCAACCAAAATACGAGGTGCACATCTACATGTTATAGTAGTCTTATATACAAAATTTCAACGTTCTGAGGCTACTCGTTTTTGAGTTATGCGAGATACGTACGTACGTACATACTTTCGTACAGACGCCATGAAAAATTCTCTTCAGAATTAATTTTAAAGCAGTTTTATAATTTTTTTTTGAGGAAACGAGTCTTTTATTCTGTCCTTACGTACAGATATCATGTAAAATCATCGTTAAATTACATTCGATAGCGGTCAAAATGGATATTTTCGTGAAATATGCTGCTTGAAACTTTTTGCGATTACAATACTTCCTTTTTACTTCATACAAGGAAGTAAAACAGGAAAACTAGCTATGGATAAGGCACTGATATAGACATGACATTGCTCACATATAAGAGGTTTCAAAACTTCAGATACATCAATCAGCAAGCTGTTGTTTATTAAGAACAAAACCAGTGGAAGGGTTATTGTTTATGGCAAAGAAAAAAGGAAAACACTGTACCACTAAAGACGATATATAAAAGAAAAATCAACAAAAAATGTACAGACAAAAAAGTCAATAGGAAATATATATATATAAAAGAAAAGAAAGAGAAAAATTGCTTTTAAGGATTTCTTCCACCAAGATATTATGCAGTTTGTCTCTTTCTCTGGCATATCAACTGGATTAATGTATAACAGGATTTCATCATTTAGCTACTGGCATCCTTGTGCAGGCAGCTAGTTTTCTTCAACACAGAAACTTTTACGACAGTGCCAGAATCTTTATGAAGATCAACTTTTAAACTGAAAGTAGCAACCTTCATAAAAGAGCTAAGCACTTTCATACGAATAAAATGTTCATTTGGCCTTATTAACCAAAGTAACAAACTAGAACATTACATGTATAATACATAATTTGAAAGAAGCTATCTTTATGAAGACTGCTTCTTTCAAATTACAAAATGTATCTTTATGAACATAGTGGCATATCTTGCACTACTGTGAAGTTTTTGAGTTAGATAACACAGGTTGGTTTCCATAAAAATGCTAATAAAGGCCCAGTGATAATCCTTCTGATCCTCACATCTCTTAATACACATGATGATCTATTTAAAAGGTGTAAGATATATCATGCCCTGTTCAATGGCATGCATATTATGGGTGCTTTAATAAATATATAAATATTAATGTAAAGGAAACACAACTTCTTTTTTAGTCAAGGAGAAAAATATTAAAAAAGCTTGAAGAATACTTTTTTTCAAAAATGACCTATAATGTACTTATACCATGTAACCATTAACCATGCATATAGGTGATCTACCCCTTTTACTTACGATTTCTTTTCGAAGTGATTTTATCATATGTTCAAATATGATAGTTAAGTTAATGTTTTATTTTATGTTATTCTTATTGAATTATGAAAGTAGTGAAATTTAAATTGGCTTGTGAAGAATAAGAAGACAAGATAAATTTCTCACTTATTTTTAGATAATGATTTTATCCTAGTAACCATCATTGTTCTTTATGACTTTCCTTTGGAAACCTTATTTTTCTTTTTGATAAGTGGAATAAATTGTAGCGATCATGTGCTGCAGAAGACCTTGGTTGTTTTGGGTATGTAGTTGATTGCTCATGTCGACATCTATTAACACCAATGAAAAATACAGCAGCGCACAAGTTTCGCGTGCCCTTGAAAATGTAATGAGCTTAGGATTTGATAATGCAAATGAGCTCTCATGCACTAGGTTCAAGAATTTCATCTCTTTCACATTTGCGAGGGTTAAGTTGCTCTTGAGATCACTACATGCTCTTTTCCAAAGCATTTCCGATGAAATATGAAGAGAAGAATAGTTGTGATCCTAGTGCTTAGATGTGATTGATTGTTGTGCAGAGGGCAGTGGCTTCAGCTCCAGTATGTGGCCGTGTTCAGTTGGATCTGTCGATGAATGTTGAGAGGGCTCGATCTGTTGTCATTTGTGTCACCATTAGGTTACGGTGGAGTGTGTGTGACGTAGTTCAAAATTTTTTCTCAGTGGAGGGAAGTTTTTGTAGTTCTTTGGGTCGCCAATGTAGTAATCAATGTGCGAGAGATCTTGGTGGCTTCAGGTATGTACTTGCTTGCTCGTGTCCTAATCTATTAGCACCAATGAGATGTGCCACACGAGTTGCATGCCCTTGAAAATGGTAATGATTTGGGATTCAATCCTGGGTCTATTTAACGTGAGTCAAATTCTCTACCATGAGTGCAAAAGAGCTCACGTGTGCTAGGTTCAAGAATTCCAACTCTTGCAAATCTGAAAGCATTGAGTTGCTCTCGAGATTGCTACAGTATTATGGGATTAAAACAACAGTAATGTATCATATAAAACTAAATTCAGTGGCGCAACAGCCCACTAGTGGGTCACAGCCTGTAGTGCCCTTTTCCTGCTTTCTTGACCTTTACTGTGTCATATAATCTATGTAATTTTTAATATGCACAAATACGAGAACATAAGCAATGCTGAGTTTGCATATTCTCTGAGTTTTTTCTTTCTTTCTTTTTAAATGAAAATAGATTGCTGTATCCATGGTAAGAACAATAGTAATGTGTCATATAATATATATAATGTTAAATGAGAACAATACTGAGACTGTGCGCAATGTCAAGTTTGCAGTTGTCTGATGTCTTTATGCAAAAACAGATTACTTTGTACATGAGTAAAAAAAAATGCACATAAATATAATACATGTAATGTTTAATATGCATAACACCGTGCACAATGCCAAATTCATGCAATTCTGTGATTTTTTTTATGTGGAAACAGATCACTAGTACATAAGGACAAAACCATAATAAATATAACATAACATATACAGTGTGGTCATAAAAAGAATTCCCCAATATATGAACCCCTAGCAACCTAAACACTCAACCAATTGAAATAGAATTTTACATATCATTATTTGAAAATATATATGCTTGAAACTGATGATTTAAAACAACAGAGCTATCACAGTCACGAAAACAGTGTAAAAATTTCGTAATTTTCAAATGGTAACACCCACTTTTTAGGAAAGGTGACTTCAAAGATTAAAAAAGAAAGGAAGGAAAAAAAAGAAAGAGAAACTAATAATAAACCAACTTCAAAACAAACAGACTACGCAGAGAATGTCAAACTTTATAAAAATAGAGTTCACATGCGACATTTTCAGAAAGTTCAAAATCCATAACTAGATTTTTCCAAAAATGGCACATACATACACTATTTAACTTTAAAAGTAATAAAATGGGTTTTGAATGGAAAGAAACATTTTATATAAATTACTGGGAAATTCATATTTTTATGCTATAATTGTAATAATGTATAAACATGAAATTCTCATTTCCCCTGCTTTATATTCAGTTAATTATGTATCTATATACAAATATGAAACAGACAGAAAAACAATTTTTTTCTGGTTTCCTTTTATGTAATTAACAACACTGCATGTAAATATAAATATTTTGAATTTTTCCTGCTTTATACTCAGAAATGTCTATTTTTACAACATACAAATTTGATGCTATAATATGCAAATGAATAGCCATTTTTTAGATAGAAAACCAAACATTTTCTTCTGATTTGCCTTAATTCATGTGATTTCATTATCAATGGAAAATTCTTAATTCTACTTTATAATCAGGAAAGTATATTCCCTTAATATATAAATTCAAAACTACTGCAAGATGTAACTGATACTTTTTCTTCAGATAGAAAAACAAACATTTGCTTCTAGTCTTCTCCCCTCCTGTTAATAACTGTCGACTGGTAGCAGCATAAATAAATTGAAATCACAAGAAGAATGTAAAGTCTTCATGAGAACAACAAAGTAAGAAAGCTTTACATTTGAATCAAGAATAATTCAAAAAACATCCACTGACACTTTTTTAGCTCATATGCACCCCTCTAAAATGAATAAATAAGTGGCACAAGAAAGTGCAATTAGAAAGAAATTGCTATTCAATAAAGGAAAATATTTTTTAAATAGGCCATCAACTTTTAAAGGGTTTTTGTATAAAAAATATTAACTTACTTAATGCCTCCCACAAAAAAAAAAAAAAAAAAAAAAAAAAAATGCCAATTCAAAGCCTAACATGCTACCTACAAATAAAACACTATTCAGAGCACAACAGAATGAAAAAAAAAGTGTTTAGAAGACCAATAGAGCTGTCCTCGCGTATACAATATAATAGTGTTAAAAATATCAAAAGCTGGACATAATGGTCAGGTCATGGGGGGGGGACTAATGTCTGTTGAAAAAGAAAAACTTCAGCTTTCATTTCAAAATCTAACAGAAATAGTATTTTAAAACACTGGAATGAGGTAATACTTTATTGACATAAGCTAATTCAGCATCTTTTGCACTGTTGTTCTAATATAAGTATTTTGACACAAAATCGGACTTTTCTGAAATTACATACAATTTTTTTCCATATTTCAATTCTACGACTCAAATTATGCCTAAATATTAAATTTTGAAAACATTTTTACAAAATTTACAGAGAAATTCAAAAATTCACCTTTGCACATTTTTTTTTTCAGTTTGCACCGCGAATAATTAACTTGGCGAACTTCTTAATATATAGCAACCTATTTTCCTTTCCTTTTTATCATTTTAAAAGATCGGAAAAAAGTCATCTTTCATTGTTTCAAATATTTTTAACAAAGTGCGCAAACCACATTTGGTGTTATTATCACTTATAACATACATGTCAAATTTCAAAACGTGCCAATATGTAAACTCACGTATATCCTAGGAAATTTTGAATAAAAAACTCTACTTTTTTGCAGTTATGCTTAGAAATAAATCTACTTTAAGATGATGGTAAAAATTTTATAGGTTATAATTTTAAAAAAAATTTTTGAAAATTTTTTTAAAATAATAATACAAATTTTAAAAACAAATCATAAAAAAATGGGCAAATTTTTTTGGAATGAACCTAAATTTTGAATTCTGGAGAAAAAGGAATAAAGTAAGTTTAATAAAAAATATACATTTGTAAATATACATCAAATTCAATTAACACAGAGGAGGTAAAATTTTGAGAGCTGTTTTTTTAAAAACTACTGGAGTGAGTTTACAAATCTTGGCAGTTTGGCATAATTTGAGTCGTAGAGTCGAAATATGGATAAAAAATGGCATGTCATTTCAGAAAAGGTCCGATTTTGTGTCAAAATACCTATATTAGAGCAACGGTATATATAAATCTAATACATATCCGAAGTCGCGCTTTCGAGACATGAAAAACGCGAGTTGAATTTCGTCAATCGGCCCAGTAGAACAGGAGATACAGAACTGTCTTCTCCCTTCCCCACCATAGTGTACATCACTCATCGAAAACCATAACCTTAAGTTTATTGATGATATAATGGATCAGGATAATCACTCTGATATTTTAAAATGTAATTTGAAATCATCAGCAAAAAACAAAAATTGCAAAATAATTCAAAATTATATAAAACCAGTGACCCTAAGCTTACTGCTGCAAACATGTTGTAGAATTTTTTGATTGTAATCAATGCTCCTTTTTAATGTCCAGATTTAAACCTTGTCAAATATATTTAGCCAGCAATGAAATATAAAATTTCAAAACAAAATATTTCTTTAAAATAATAACTAAAAGTAGTAATACATGATGAGTAGGTAACAAAATTAAGATGCAACTAATAAAAAAAAAATCTACTTGAATGTATGCTTAAAAAGTGTAAGCTATGTTTTAATAATAATCCCAAAAAAATTTTAGAAATACTTTAAGTTCTCAGTTGGATGTAGATATTGGTCTTTAAGCTCAATATTTCATTTTTGAAAAAAAAAAAAAAAAAAAAAGTTTAATGTAAGGTAACAACCAGATACACTTCAAAAGTAGACATATTTTGGATTTCAGGTCAATGCAGTTAAAATCTTTGACATTAATTTTGGCAACTAAAACTGTCCTACCACTTTTGTAAGACACTACAACATTACCAAAACACATGTTTAATACAAATGTAAACACTACAAAGGGTTAGAGTATAACAAGGCTGAATACTTCCAAAGGAAAACTCATTATGTTCACAAAAATATTGCTAAGCCAGTTCAGGAAGATTAACTACAGCTATAAAAACAAAATTAAAAACATTGTTTTAAGATTACACAGATGCAAAAGAAAAGGAATACATGTAAATTCTTGACTAAGTGCAATGGAGAGCTTAAGTGCAAATAAAGATAATTTAAAATTGTCTGCATTGTGATATGTAGGTAGGTAGGTAACTCTGAAAATTTTTAGACAGGGGCAGATGGCATGAACTAAAAAATTATTTGTTAGATTTGTAAATATGTAAATTCTTTTATGTCCACAGAAAATAATTCAAGGCAAGAATTGCAATTTATCTGCCACAGAACAAATTTTGAAAGAAAGGAAAACGGAGCTGGAATGAAACATTATCATGATATAATTTTAAAGCAGAACTAAATTAAGAAGAATATCTTCAATGATTTGATAAGTTTAACTTGTATATTTAGGCACACCTAAAAAATTTCAGAGTGACTCTCATATATAATATACGAAAACACACTTCAGGTGCAGCACCTAATGGTCAAGCTCTACTTATAAAACTGCATTAATATACTCAAAGTGGGACAATTTTAAGTACTTGCTGATTGGCCATTGTGCAGTTATGTCATAATTCTTCTAACAAGCATTTTGTACAGCTATTTTCTGCACTATAAGCCATTTTCCATTTGTTCTTTTCCTGCCCTATCAATAAGTTTCATCAAATTCATTTCATTTTTAGCATCACATTTCACATTTGTCTAGTACTACTGTTTGGTATAGCTAAGACTGGATTATTACAAAATTGTTATTGAACATATACATAATCCAATTTAGTTTTCTCAATGTGAGAAATAACTATTAATGTGGTATGGATCAAATTCATTCTTTTTTTTTTTCCATTTTTTTGTAAAAGAAAAGAGGGCATTTATACATTATGATTGTATAAGACAATGATAATTCAACTTATCAAAGTGTGATAAAATTTTTTACAAAAGATTCCTAAAATGACATATTGTATTTGATCATTCTGACACAGAATCACTTAATAGTCACATTCTGTAATACAAGCACTATCAAAGACTAAAATTCTTTTCCTATAAAATGTTAAGGAACAATCACAGTAACCCAGCAATAATATAAGGAAATGTCATGCATTCATGAGGAAGATAAAAATTTACAATAAGTCAACACATAATCACTATAACATTAAAAACTATTAGAATTTGTTTTGAATGTTCTGAAAAAAATCTGCAGATTTAATATTTTATTTTACATCAAGTCACTTTTCTTACAGCAAAATATTTTCAACCACCATACTAAAATTCTATATTTTCTTTCAAATTACCAAATTTTTATAAAAATAGATTCAGTTATAGAGAATGAAAATTGTAGAGAGTCACATTGTCTGAAAGAGCTAAAGCTTGTGACACCCTGGTGAGAATAGTAGGTTGAAAGTGTTACAATTCACATACAATGAAAGCTTTATTTAATGGACAAACAGAATTTAGTCATAGTTACTTTATAAGGTATTTCTCCCGCCTTCTTAGCGAGCCTTCGTGGTCGAGTGGTCTGCACGCTCAGCGCGTAATTGAGAGGTATGCGGTTCAATTCCCAGTGAAGGCGTCACATATTTCTCATCTTTCCTGCTTCCAAAAATTACCTAATATCTCTACAGTGGCATCCAAACTAAAAGGGTTTGGATGATGATTCTCCTCATCCAGGATTTGGCGATTGGGTCCCCTAAAAATCCCGGTCGCCCTTTAAAAGAGGGAGTATATAAGGTATTTCTCCCACCTTCTTAACAAGCCTTCGTGGTGTAGTGGTCTGCACACTCAGTGAGTAATTGAGAGGTCCGCGGTTTGATTCCCAGAGAAGGCGTTGCTAATTTTACATCTTTCCTGTTTCCAAAAAATACCTAATGTCTCTACAACTTGATCATCCAAAGGTTCATTAAAATTAAAATAAAAAGTAACAAATCATGTATTTACAACTATAAAACAGAAATTAATGAAAATTTAAACTGGTATAGAGCTAATAGACCAAACAGGACAAACCTATACCTTGAACAGGAGAAACTGTTGGCGAAGTAGACATTCTACTAAATTTTGAAGGCACTTGATGCTTAATCCCTTGGAAAAGTAATATTCTATCTTCAACAGAAGGAAATACTTCGTTATGTTCCCCGTTTTCCTTCATCCCTCCATCAGATGACTGATCCAACAGAAGGTCATCAGAAGAAGAATCAAAGTTATCAGTTGTGTAACAGAGGGATGAAGGTGTGGCTAAGATATCATCTTCACTCAAGAAACTAAATGGAGATATTTGCCCATCAGCATCATCTCGGTCAGGAGTAGTTTTACTACTTTTCTGAGAGAAGTAAGGAGACCTATAAGGATGAAAAAAGCATCTATGTACAGTCTCGAATATAATAAGTTTGGATAGAAAAGAATGCATTTAAGATTTTAAATTACTGATACTATAATTTTAAATAACTAAGTGCATCAATACATACATATTCTAAATCTTAATTATAGTAGAAGTTGCACACATGTTAATTTGCCAACTAAACAATTTGGGTAACTTACACTATCAACCGCGTTACTCCTTCTGCAAGTTTGAAACTTAAAATACAATATCAGGATCAAAGTTTATTTCATCTTTAATTTTTAAATACCACTCATTTAGAAATGTTGCTTTACTAAATATCGTTAATGCTAAAATAAGTACATTCAAATACAGCATATCATTATGAATTTTTAAAAAAATTATGCATATAATGCCCATGCAGCTAACTCGTTTGCACAGATTCAAACCCAGGTCAAACTACCACTGTTCGTTGACTTTACCACCCTGCCACTGGTGGGTATGGGTACATATGCATATGTATAGTGTCTGTACAGCAAGGGGCACTCAAAATCTTTGGCAAGCCAAAGTCCACTCAAGTGTTTTCCTGATAGGGGAAAAGGAGTTGTAGACCTTCAGACCCACCCCCAAGGTGCCCTCCTTCAAAACTGAGGCAGAGCTGGTAAAGTCATATTGTCACTTATATGATGCTTAATAAACCCATGCTAATGACAGAAACAATCTTGCTCCCCTTGCCATGATAAAATTCATGGACTTGTTCTGATTAGGTCAAACAAGCAAGATTAGCCACAACAAAAACAAAATGTAAGATATTTATTACATTTTGTTTTCGTGGCTCTCTTTTAAAAGATGTTGCTCCCCCTTCCCGTAGGAAACATTTTTTAAGAAACAAAAATTTTCATCAGATAGCATGATTTATCTCCAATAATAGATAAACATAACACCACAGATAATCATAAAAACTTCGTGCTTTTATGTGAACTCAATTCACTTTTGACAAAACAGTTTAGTTTTTGCAAAGAAGGATATAATCATATTTATCTGTCTTGCTCTGCATTTAGAAAATATTATTAAAATTTGAGATCTGCTTTGGAACAGAATGCACCGGAATATTTTTAAAGTTACAGGTTTAAGAAAAGACAAAGACTTTATCTGAAAATGGATAAACAATGGCAATGCATTGTGAGAAATTATTATGATAAATGACTTTTTTTTAAGTTATATTTGTAACTTGGATCAGTTTATTAGCTAACTAAATAAAGAATGGTCTATTTCATCAAAATTCTGCCAGTGCTACTAGTGCAAGTATACGGAGGTCTCTGCCAACATTATGGTCAATGGGATTTTTATAATTGGGTAGGACATTTTACATTTATATATTGAGGGCTATGAAAATATATTAGCTTTAAATCAGAAATATATTTCCTTTCGATATCTTATATAATTATGTGGGTATTGATCCACTCATTTATTTAATGAACTTGGCCTCTATTGAGATTGTCAGGTGACATATTACCCCACATATTAAAACAACTAAAAGTTCAGAAAGAAGTTTAAACAAACCTTTTTATTTAAAACTTTGAACTTAACAAATGCAATACTGTTTAAAGAATAATCCCTTTAGTTTGCAGGATTCAGCTAAGACAAAATGTATGTCGAAATTCAAAGTAATTTAATTCTGGAGAAGTGAGTAATTCAAGTGCAAAATCTTATCAAACATCGGCTTAACCTAATCCAATTTGTGAGAACAACTTCGCTAGTGAAAGGTTAATGCCAATCTAAATTAGTGCCAGTATTACAGTAGAGATTCTTCTAATGTATTTGTTATAGCCATGAATCTTATAAGAAACAGATTAATTCAAATGGGTTTTTTCCTTTACTTGCAATATACTGCAGGTGCCCCCCTGATCACAACAGAAGTTGAGACAACGTGGAAACTTTTACTCTGGTTTGCTACTGCATCGCTTATAATTTTCACCTTATAAAACTAGTTTTATTGCTAAATTCTTAACCAGTACATTGAAATGTGACATTTGTTACTTAGCCTTCATTTCAACAGAACCATTCAATGATCTCTTGGAATTTTAAACTTAAAGCTTAGACCTGAAAATTTAACTTCTCTTTCCATGGATGTTAAAATTTCTACAAATTGCACACACAATTTTCTAGAAAATTTTTTTAAATCTATCTAGAACTATCTTATATTTCTTTCCCTCAAACATAACATTAAGGATACGAAGAGGAAAACTATTTTATTAAATAATAAATTAAATTTAGTTTAAAAGAACAACAATAATTCTATTATTGTTTAAATTATCACACATTGTAAAATAATATAGAAAATACCATAATAAAGTTTTAGAATGTTCTATGCTTTTTTCCCAAAATATTACGTTGATGATGAACGAGGACAATTATTTAATTAAACAATAAAATTAGTTGCATTCTGATCTTTACAAATCAATGCATTTTTAGTACATAGCTATTTAGATATTAGAATGCATTAATGCAACTGCAAGCTATTATGAATTATATGAAAATGATAATTTAGAAGCAGAATAACAAGTTTAATTTCATTTAAAATCTAATATATCTAAAGCACCTTTGCAAATACATAAATTATTTTTGGCAACATTCCAAAATAAATGTATTATATTTTTAATGAAGTTACTAACTGTATAAATAATTTTAACTGTATTTAAGCAAATCATGTTGACCAATTATGCCTTAACTCAACCCTTTTATAATATGACTTGGCTAACTTTTTTTTAAACATTTTTGTATATACGATTAATGGTTTGAAGGTCCAAAAAAGTGTATTCTAAAGAAGCTTCATTTTGAGGGAGTGGCATATTTAATACTCATAAGTTTACCATAACTTTCAGCTGAGCAAGAAGTATTTGTCAAAAGTAGCTGCTTTGGATAAGCTGTTTAGCCTTCCTAGTAATCCAGACTGACTCTGAAGTAGAAGCTGATGATGATGCATTTTCAGAATTATAATCACTAGAAAATTTAGATAACCCTAGCACAAGTTCTGGTGATTTTTGAATGACTGAGGAGCCCTCTTCTGCTGATGGAGCACTGCTGGTTGAACCTCATACCAACTATTCTTCTGAAAGCGATGATGAAATGAATGAAGAATGGAGTAATAAAGTAGATTTCTTTGGCAATATTGAATTTTCTTTCAATAATGAGCCACATCTGAAAATATCATTTAATTTAACTGAGAAGAAAAAGGATTATTTTGGCATGATTTTCATTGAAGAAATTTTACAGAATATTGTTGACAAAACAAACTCATATGCAAAGCAACCTAAGAAAAGAAAAAGATTGGGTCATATCACAAAAGACATTATCTTGAACTGGCAAGAGATCACATCAGAAGAATTGAAAGCATGGATAGGTATGCATATAATCACGAGTGTACATCAATTGCCTGAACTAAAAAACTGCTGGAGCACTGACCCTATTCTCAGTGTTCAATCAGTAGCAAGAGAAATGACCACAAAGAGGTTTAAAAAAATAACTGAGACTTTACACGTAAATGATAACAGCACAAATCCACCTCGCAAGCAACCTGGGCATGATAAACTCCATAAAGTCAGACCAATCCTCTCACAGCTCAATGATTCAATATCTCAAGCTTATGAACCTTGGTCAACCTTATCAACAGATGAATGATTGATAGCTTTCAAATGCAGAACTTCATTGAAGCAATATATATATGCCAATGAAGGCCATAAAAAGAAGTTATAAAATGTGGTGTTTAGCAGATTCTCAGACTGGTTATATTAAAAAATTTGAAATTTAACGTGGAAATGAAACTTCTGGTAATAAGGCTGACCTTAGGGAAAATAGTAGTAACTAAACTAACAGAAGATTAAAACATACAAGTCGCCTTATAGCCTATGATAACTATTTCACATCTTTCTGAAGTCTTGCAAAAAATCTACTTGTAAGTGGTCTGTTTCCTGTGTGAGGCCACAAAGGTTAGATCTTCCACTAATGCTGAAAGCTAATGACAAACTATAAAGAGGTGAATAAATGTTCCTAACTAAGAAAGGTGTTTCTGCAATAAAGTGGAGATAAAGTAAAAAGGCTGTTACTCTGTTGACTACTGCACATAATCCAGCAATTATTACATCTCTAAATCAAACAAAAAAGGACGGTATTAAAACAGAAGTACTTTACCCTAAAGCTGTTGCTATATATATTGATATCATGGGAAGGACGTGATTGCTTCGCTTAAAGAAAAGAAAAATACCAAATAGAAAGAAGATATGTAATCATATTTTTTATTTTCTTACTGACCTTGGCAACATAACTGTGGTCATTTATACTTAGCTCATAAGCTAATAGACAGATACCTCAAGAAAAAGGAAAGGCCATTCTGCTAGCTTCCAAACAAAAAAGTGCACGGTTCCAAATGATGTACGCTTAGCCAGTGCGGGAAATCATGTGCCAAAGATGGTTTCCAACTATAGCCGATGTATGAAATGTAGCACAAAGACACAAGAAAAGAGGACCCGCTATATGTGTGCAGAATGTGGTGTACCTTTGTGCATTGAAATATGTTCCTCATCTTAACATGGCAAATAATTGCCATTAAATTGAATTTTCTCTATGACTGTAAAGGATTGCATGGGAAATATAACCCCCCTAGAATTTAAATATATATAAAAAATTTGGGAAGTATACTTCCCACCCTAGAATTTAAATGTAAATTGAAAATTTGGCAAAATAAAATATATTTTCTTAAATTCTATTGTTTAATTGATAATAAAACAAAAAACCGGGACAAATTAAAAAGAGAAATAAATGGACCACTAAAGGGTTAAATATAGTTATTTATATTCAAATTTTTAGAATATTACGACTTTTATGAATAAATATTTTTAATAAAGATAATGAGAAAAGAAGAAAAAAGAAGTATTCAATGAGTTGAGTAGTAAGTGCATCAGTACTAAAAGAATAAATTAGCACAAAGTGCTGCTAATTTTAATTTAAGTTTAAAAGTATTATTAGATCCAACTCAGCAATAAGACCTGAATTTTACCAAGTAAATCAATACACAAACTACATTAAAGCAAATGTCTAAGATACTAAGACATTGATTTGAATGAAGAAATTAAAAAAATCCAAGGGAAAAGTGTTTTGAAGCTCCAAACCTGGTCCATCAATAAGAGAGCCAAAACAAATTTCCATATATAAAAACAAGAATTGTATGTGAACAAATGCACAAAACAAAATAAATAGAAATTTTGGGATATATTAAATCTTATTTATAAAAGCTTAGAATTTCATAATCTCATGACTCATACAATGTCCAATTACAATAATTAAAAACAGTTATGTGATGTAAACACCATAGATTTCAACGTTACGGTAGAGTTCATCATCCAACTTCTCCTTCCCAGCATGTGAGACCACACACCCCACCTATAGGTTAGTCTTATTTCTTATAAGGTCCATGCTTAGAGATGGATGGGGATGTACCACAATACATTGCATCACTGCCAATGTTTCAACATTCAGAAGATCTTCTTATACACATGCATGTAACTTGCATCCTGGAAAGTGCTGACAAAAGGCACATGCAAAATATGCATTTTTCTTGGAATAAATAAAGAGAACAAGAGGTTTATGAATTAGAGACAAATTTAACAAAGGATTCATGCAGACCCTCACAAGTCCTTATAGCTCACCACTGGTTATAGTATTAAATCCAGAAATTTATAAATATTTTGAATTTCTCTAAAAAATAATGTTTCTTGTTGTGCAAACAAAATAATGTTTATTGCAAAACATGCCATAAATATCAATGACATAACACAGGATGTATTAGAATTGATGATCACAATTTTAGAGGCTGATAGAACACGACAAAATAATTTTCATAATGCAATGTGTAATGTATATGTGGAAATATTCGTGGAACAGGAAGTATCACAAACATGCACAATGAAAAGTCGTTTTAATCAGTTATATTTAAAAGAAATAATTATTGATATTTAGAAGAACTGTTTGAATGAATGACCACCAACTGCAACAAGTGCATCACAAAGATAACGAAGTGACTGGCATATGTCACACACTTCTGCAGTGATGCTCATTCTGGTAACAAAGTTTTCTACATAGTCAATCTGTGTCTTGTAAACAAAATCTGTCATCATCCTGGCAAATATATTGAAGCTGCCAGTAATTCATTTGAATACTTCTTGTAAATATCAAGCATTGTTTCTAGTAAATATTTGTGATCAAAATTTTTCCATTTTCTGGTTTGCTAGGTACTTACTTTGGTTTCTCTTTCACATTTCAAATTCTATCATGAATTATATTATGAAAATTGTTATTTTTGTCATGTTTTATCACTTCTTAAAGCTGTGAGCAACAATTATGTTATACCTTGCAAACAATGAGCAGTATTACATGGAATAAGAAGAACTGAGTATTAATAAAAAGAATATATATAAAGAAGAATTGCTACTGCATTTTTTGAACCTATTATGCAAATAATAAAGTAACACAATGTAAAAGGTATTATCATAAAATAAAAATGATGAAAATAAAAAGTGCTACCATAACAGAAAATGCTATTTTTATGATTTGACACTATGATTTTATAGGCACATAGCCTGGTGTGTATTTCTGTTCCTGGTTGGCTTCACATAGACAAAATTTCATTTTCCCAGCAAAATATTACTGTTCAATAGTTCCAATGACTCTTTCATTTTAAACAATTAACTAACTACAGTGCAAAAGCCAAAATTCAGACATCCAATAATATCTGGAAAGATGTAATATTCAAATCTCCAAACCATAGAAGTTGGTGTAACTAAGAAAATGCAAAATTCCTGCATGTCACTTTCAAACACCTGCTAGCTAGGGAGTCATACTGTGGCCACTGACAAAGCATTGATTGATGTATTGACATTAGCCACAACCAACTTTCGCCTCTTGAGTAATTTTGAAGTTAGCACTTTTCTATCTGACATAAACAATAAGTGAATATATTTGTTCAGAGTGGAATATATTTGTTGAGAGTGGCATGTTGATAATAGTGATCTTCATTTCTCAGCACAGGAGTGGGAAAGTTATACAATAGATTCCAAGGAACTTATTTGAGTTAATACAGCTTGCACTCTTCTTTAACTTTACTTATCCAGATTATTACTTTCTTCAGGCAATTATTATTACTTGAATTTTTGATTATGTTGAAAAGAGTTTCTAATCCCAGAACTGCAGCAAGATCTGCAAAACGGAAGCATGTTTTGACATAAATCAAGTAAAAAGTATATTTGTTGCAAAAAATGCATTAAGTCATATCCTTCTCAAAATTACTCGAAGAGTTATAGCCTTGAAAAATGTATAACATAAAAAGGAAAAGAATGCTTAAAGATCTAACTTAAATGCATGTAAAATTTTAATAGTATAGCAAAACAAAATTAAAACTCTTCCCTTTTTATTAAAACATGGGACATAGGATATCAAAAAATGTCCTTAGCTTACTTAGTCTTCCTATTTTCCATGTTCATTAAGAAAATTATTATCCATGCAGCCTAATGAGTGTTACCATTCCATAAGATATTAAAAGTTCTTTCATTTATTATTCATGACAGCTAGCAATTTCCAGTTCTCAGAGGGTTGCTATTCAGCACCGACTAAGATTTTTCAACTTAAATATAAATAAGACTATGCATTGCTTACTATATATGCAATTTAAAAGACATTTATATATTTCTTAATAACTTATAGCTTTATTTTTTTAATAATATCTTCAACTGATGTAATTTATGAGCTAATTCACCCACTTTATATATACGTATTTGCACCATTACTGTAATTAATTAAATAAAAAATCGAATAATAATTATAACAAACAGTAAAGAATAACTATTTGTGCGCTGTCTAACAATGAGATTTTTACTTATGTTTTGTGACAGATTAAGCAATAATGTGCTGAATAGAAATCAGCATTTTCAGGGTTTTGAAAAATATGATACTACTCAGAAAGGAAACAAAGTAATATCAAATTTATTATACTACTTCAATATCTGAAAGTAATAAAATATTACAGTAGCTTATTTAATAAGCACATGCTCTTTTCTTTACAATAGTAATTCTTTTATTTGTCAAAAAATAAAATGTGATAAGGGTGGAAAGAGAATCCAGAAGCACTATTTTTAATCAAAAAATTAGACAGCAAAAATGAATAATTTCTTTATGAAGCATTTACAACTTTTGTATTCTGTAATACGAACAGGATTTATTATACAGCAATTATAAGTGATTTTCTGATATAAAAGTTTTAGATTTCATTAATATACTATTTTTTAATATTAAAATAATCCTGACTACAAAAAATAGACATTTGAGGGTAATCAATAACATTTTTCCCCAAAACATATATCAATTCATTAAAATATTTTAAAAGAACTGCATAATAAAACCCCACGAGGTATGAAATACTCTCTATAACCAAAAGACCTGTGTATATGTTGCTGATAACAAAACTGCCAACATTCATGAAATTATTTTTTTATTAAAATAATATAAAAAATACATATTTACCTGTAATAATCTGGAAAAACCCTAAAAAAGAAGAAGAGTATATCAATGTAGCATAATTTTGGAATTTTAATAAATTAACAAGTCACAGATACTTAAAAGACAGAACACAGCTTCTCAATCATGTACAGAGAAGGCTGCAGTGGCAGACAATCCAATAAGATAATCCTATTAGTTCAGCAACAGATGCAGAAAGGCATGAGTGAATGCACTAGTATGGCTTCAAGTTAGAACATAAGAAAGCCAAAATAGGTCTAGAATTATGACATTAAAAAATTATGCAACTTTAATGACACCATTTATTTGTTATAATAAACTTTTAAAAAATGTGAATTTTTACATAAAAACTGCCTAAATAACATTTCATTCAAATTAGTTTTATTCTTTTCATATTATTTTCAAAACACCATCTGAAAAATTTATAATTTCTCCATTTTTTGAAATTTGATTTCAGATTTTATTTCTTTTTGTAAAAAAGTAATGAACATTCATTATGAATCATAAGTTGACAGATTGCTTTGACATATATATATTCAGTATATAACCAATGATATAACAGCATAAGCTATTGTTTAAAATGTTTTTTATATAATTTTCACAAAATATCAAGATCTGCTATATTTTTTTTAATATTTCCATGCACAGGCAACTTAAGCTATATCACAGAAGAAAACTTCGGCTTCATTTTCCTTGATAATTATAAAAAAACTTGAAGAAAGTATGAGAAAGGTCTTGAAAGAATCTCTTAAGTACAAAATTAAGCAAAATTTAATATCAGTCTGTAATTTGTAAAAGCTTTAAGCAATTTCAGAGAGAATCCAATACAAGTTTTATAGGAATAATATTCTACACAATAAAAATTTATTTTGGCCATTTGCATACCTAAGCATAAACCGAAAATGATTCACAACCCTCATGCCTAAATCATATTTTATAATATAAAAGTGGCTGGTCTATGACAATATGAAAAACAAACTAATAAATTGAAACAATAAGTGTAAAAAAAATCCAAGATTTAAAAAAAATATGGAAATCAAAATTTAAACAAAATGCAGAAAAAAATCTTTACCTAAGAAGGCTGACTAATTTCAATAAACTTTAAAAAGATAAAGCAACAGAACTGTTCCAAATACTAGCTACAGTTAAAAAATAATTAATAATGTAGTTAAAATAACTAAAAAGCATGTCAATTTAAACTTTAATCTTCTGTTGAGACTTACTTTATACTAATACTTTTAGATATATATGTTTTTATCATACATTAATCTGTAAATACAGTATAAATTTACATGTTAAAATCGTACAGTTTTACAGAGATACAACTTCTTTAATCATGAAACATGTTATATACGTCTATATTTTTAATCCGTACAGAAATTCAATGAAGACTAATTAGATTTTATCAAAGAAGTTAAATATGCACAACCTTAATAAAACCTACTTTAAATTATAATTTTTTCATATGGACTGTAATTAATCTGCATCTATTTATTGTTCATAGTATTACCCCATTCCTGGAAATATTAGTGTCATCTACTTGTGATTCTGCACAAGTAGTAAGTACTCACGCACTTACGCATAATGCAAAATACTTCCAGCAAAACTTTATGTTAAGTAGTCCTTGAAAAATTTTTGGTTTAATTTATTTATGTCATTAGGGAGATGATTAAAATTTGGAATTTGTTTACAAATATAAAATGATGCTGGAGTTCTGATAATAACACAGAATCCTTAATAATTAATATAAAGCAAATATAATTAATCATATAAATAATTATATTTATTAGTAAATTTCTCTCTTGAAGTATTCATGTTCTAGTTTTCCATATTTTTGGCAGAATATTCTTTCACTTTAGTAATCAGATTAGCCAATGCCACGAATATTTCCATGAACAAGAACATACAAGCACCCTGCCTGCTCAATAACACTTCTCCTTTAAGAATACATGCTCATGTTAGATTTCCTCTCAGATACTACTCTTCATTATAATGTTAATGCTCTAATCTATACTTTTAAAATGAAATTAAAATGTCCTCAAAGTGTCTAAAAATGTAGTTCTTCAATGCATTCTGAGTTACCGTGGTATCTTTGGAAATGAGAAGGCAGAAATCTAAATATCAAATACCTCAACCTGAAATTCTTTATCATTGCAAAATATGAAGTGGATTGTTTCCACTAAAATGAAAAACTGATAAGTGATACACAAGGGTTCGGCTACAAATAAGAACTGAAAACATATTCCTGGACAACAATAAATGTATGACCAGTTTCTTGCCTACAACTATGGGGTTGCTTGTTTTAAAATAATCACAAAACATAATGATTTACAAAAGCATTTAAATATAAAGAAAAATCCATTTTCCTCTAAGTCAGCAGACTATTATGGATCAAGAACTGCCCTAAAGTTATCAACTTTAAGTTTAAAAATTCCTTAGATACTGATTTTTGATTTGAATGACTTTATAATTCATTTAATTATATATTGGGATGCTATAAAATATTAAAGATCTATAATGGTCTCACGTATCTGAAAGAATCAGCACGCACTTTATTAAGTCAAACAGAAACATGCAATTTTCCATATTTTGGTAACGCAGAGCTTGTAATGCAAACATTTCAAACACTTAAATACCAAACACAGCACACACAAGATAATTAAAAAATATACGGCAAAATGGTAGACCAGCAAAATGAATCTGTAATGGAAAGTCTGTGCTGGAATGGTCCATTGAGATGTGATAGGGTGTTGCTGAGTGGTACATAAAAATGTTCTGCTGATGAAAATCACCATTCCCCATGCAGAATTCACATAGTATGCATCACTACACTTCCCAACATGCATTTTATCTATGGGACTGCATTTAAAATGGAGCAGCTACTCAAAGGGGGTACACAGAATGATTTCTAAGTATCAATTTCAGCAGCTGCTCTATTTCTTACGACAGCCCCGGAAGATGAAATGCATGTCAATGCGCTCTGTGCTTGTGTAGCAAGCAATGCATACTGCTTAAAATACATTCAGGAAATGGCAATGTATGCCTGCAGAAATGCTTTTATCTATCTACTGTTCAACAGCACCCTGTACTAGCTCAAAAGCCTTGTACCACTAACTTAATTTTTTTGAAAGTTTTTATTTATTTATTTATTTATTTTTGGACAGATTTTTCAGTCACCCAGTATACCTGAAAATTAAAGTTAGTAAAATAAAAATAAGTTTTAAAGTAAAATTCTACAATTTAGGAATATAATCACACATATCTATTTAAAAAGGAGTACCTTGGTGAAGGTTGGCGAGAAATTATGGAAGGGGTTGGAGACACACTACCTTCATGAATTTTTGCTAGTACTGCAGACTGTTGATGTACAGCAGCATCACCAGCAGGAATATATTTAATTCTACATAAAATGAAAATTGTGCTATTATAATGCAGCAATAACTGCAGTTATATCAGGAATTGTCTTAATTTAGAAAGCAACGAAGTTTCAGAAATGCAGCAGTTTTTAACAACATGATTTCAGAAAGTACTGTAGTTTTCAACAATATACTGTAATGAAAAAAATTACAATGGCATATTAAATAAATACAATACTTTTTAATGCATATTTTATAAATGAATTTAAAAACTGAAATTTTAATTTTTGAATCCATGAGTTCATATTCTGAACAAATACCAAAGACTACCCAGAAGCTACAAGACTTTTAGTTCCATTTATAAAAATATACCCAATAATATTTTCATGCTGTAAATAGCTTCCCCCATCCCCTTGAAAGCAGACAAAAGTAGAATGCATATGGAAAAGTAGAAATATGGTTGATAAATAAAAACTCGTTACATTCAGAATGCATAATTTGTTGTTTCAAAATAAAACATATGAAAAAATTTTAATTAAATTTATATCATTTTATTCATTTTGATGCATTTTTATTTTATAAGTTTACAAAGATAATACTTTATGACTTCAAACATGAAACATATTTTTCTCTTAAAATTCAATTTCGAAAACCATACCTTATTCAAATGTGCAGCAAAAACATACCTATTTAGTTTTCCCTCAAAGTATAGTATTTATAATCTTCAATATATCACTCATATGAAAGGTCATGTGTATACACAAGCCTTTACTTTTGTCAGTTAAACAACTTAAAAATGCAGGTCAGCTTACATGTGAGATCGATTTACATTCAAAACAATACAGAGTGTGTAATACAGAAAATAAATAGTTCAAGAATAAAAAGGGCAAAACGGTCCATATGGCTTAGGTTGATTTTAATCATTATCACTTTCTGAAAAGAAAAACATTTCTTTGTGTTCTAATAGTATCTTCATTCTACTTAAAGGTTTTTGTGATAGCTTCATTCAAGCCATGAATGGAAAGATGGTTTATGTGATAGCTTTATTCAAGCCAAAATTTTGCCTATGAATGGAAAACAATCCAAAATTTAGATCATTTTACTAATATGGTGGTAAGGCTTACAGCAAGAGTACGGTATTCTACGATTATGCAATGTGTTTAAAATAATTCAATATAAAATAGGTTTTATGTATTTTTCTGTCAAAAAACAATTTTAAGAAAATTGTGCACAGTTATGTTACTGCAGTCGGGGGAGATTTTGACATATCAAATGTGTACAGTTCAAAAATATGGCAGCTTTCTTATAAATTCTATAAATATTTGTTGAATAAAATTATTTTTTCAAAATTCAATTCAACTGAAGAAAGTTGAAAAGCAATGTTTAATAAAAAATCAGTAGTATAAGGAAAAGAAATTGGAAAAAGAAAATTGTTTATTGTAGTCTAGAATCAAGTAACATTCTTTTAACTCATAAATAAATTATACGTCTCCAGTTCTAGCTCTCAGAATTTCAATCTATATTAAAATTCTTTCAAACACTATTTGCTTTTTTTCCCTCTTCAGCTAAAATCTGGATTTCAGAATTTTTTATATGTAGTTTCTTTCCTCAATGAAAACACTTAAGGCAAAAATGCCTAAGCCCAGGCAAACTGAGGAGCGTCTAAAAGTCACTGAGGATGAAAGATGTACAGAAACTCTGACAGAAGAAAAAGGAAGGTGGTACTTATTATTATAATTGCATCCATTTTCTTAATCATAATTTTGTTTTTCCATTTGCAAACACTAGCCATTGTAGGCATTGGCTACTACTAAGGCCTGAAGTGGTGGTCATTTTATTATGGAGGGACTAATATGTAGGTCACTATTGCCTCCTATGAATAAACAGACACTTTTCATCAGTACAACAGTAAAAGTCACTTTCCCATCTGAGATATTTCTTATTCACCCTTACTCTGCATATTTTTTAACGTTTCTGTCCTCAAATATGTAAAACATTAACTCACCAAGGGTTATGGATGTAAAACTCTGCATAGAAGGATGGCTTTCTAATTCATTACACATAAAAATTTCTGCTAGCTCCTGTTGTATCTGATTTCAGTTTGAATGTATATTGAAAGAAAAGGAGTTAAGGTAAAAAGTGAGAGGAATCATATTTTTTTAGAACTATTAAGAACAATTTTGAAATTATAATCAATAAAATCCTATTTATTCACAACATTTTTGGAACTTTAGGGTTCCAATGGTAAGCCCAGGGATAAGCTCAGAGAGTAATGCAATGCATTGAAAATAATTCCATATTAACTATGTTATGTGCAGTTCTAGGAAAAAAAGCCCACAGGAATAATGCTCACAGGTATAAAGGCTCACAGGAAAAAAGCCCACACAGAAATATGCCCACATACAAGAATAAAACTGAGAGGGTTTACCATGGTTAATCCCTCAGTTTGGTGGTAATACTTATTTTGAAAAACAAATTTTGCTTCTTTCAAACAAAGTTGAGTAAGAGAAATTAATTGTTTTGATTTTGATATATGAGAAATATATCCTCATTTTTGATATATATGAGAAATGAAATTTTTAAAGTCTAGTTTTTAGACATTTGAGAGAACCTTCGACGGGAACAATGGTGAATAACAATTTTACATCAAAAGAAACCATAATAAAATTTCTAGGAGAAATATTTTTATGATATAAGCATTATTAATTAGCAAAGGTGGAAACCTGAAAACTAAATATTTAGCTAACAGGTAAGAAAGAGGCAGTGCCTAAATTTGATATAATGGGTTGAAATGAGATACCACTTTTATGAATTATGGGAAGAGCTTATAGTCTTGCACAATTTGCAATAGATAGGATAAGTGATTTTTGTAAGTGAGATGGAACTATTTGTGAAGATTTAATCACAGATTTTATTTTTGAGAGGTCCAAAGGTGAAGGATCTTTAGGGATCAAATTATATGTTTAAGAGTTTAAAAATACCCACCATGTAAATGTTTTTGTCATTGATGACTGTATGGCCACCTTTTGACCTGGCTTTTGAAATTATAATACCTGGGTTGGAATGAAGTTCATGCAACACAGATTTTTCTCTTGCATTTAAGTTAAAGGTTAAAAGCTTATTGAAGATTTCACATTACGGGCAATAAGATGTCTAATCATTTCTTCCTGTGTTTCTGAAACTTTACTAAATTTGAAAGCTTTTTTAACCCTCTAAGCAGCAAACCCGTATACATACGGCCTAGGATATTTTTTGTGAGATCTGTAAGAACGTATATATACGTGCATATTAAAATATCTCAAAGAAATTAAGGCAATATATCTAAAGAACACAAATCCAGGTATGAAATACCAACAGAGTTTTTACATTAAAATCGAAAACATAATTTGTTCTCATAGTAGGTTTGGGAAATTTGTGTTTTCTTACCTAAAACCCTAGCTGTTCAGAGGGTTAAGAAGAGCTAAAATTTTTGGAATCAAAGATTTTTAGGTTTCTGATAAGATAAAATAATATTTGAGAAATTGTAAATTACATAAAATTATATTTGAGAATTTAATAAATATTATTAAACAATAAGTGAAAAATTTCATGCCACCCAACTGGTACAGTAGTTAGCGTCATTGACTGCCATGCAAAAGAATTCGGGTTCAAATCTCGGAGTAGGCATGGATGTTTGTAAATGTATAGTGTCGGTGTGGCATGGTGGCATTCTAAATATGCGGCAGGCCAAAAGTCCTCTCATGTGGTTTGGTGCAAGACCCTCGGAAACATCGCGCCGGGGTGCTCACCATCAAAATTGGGGGCCGAACTGAGCTAAATCACAATGTCACCCATATGGTGCTCAAGGCTGTTGTCAACGATAATCGTATCTTACGCTCCTTGCCATGAGGAATTTCATGGACTTAGGCTGATGTAACTGTTAGACGATTTCATATTTTAAGATTCTTTAGCATGCATAAAATAAGATTTTGTTCACTACTGAGAAATCTACTTTCTGTATCATCACTTCAGAATTTTTTAACTTACACAATGTCAGAGCTTGTTAATTCAGCACGCCTGATTATAGCTCTAGCTTGGGATCTGGTAATGTTGCGCATATTTTCAGAATTGACGCCAAGAATATAATCTCCAACTTGAACATTGCCATCCTTCTCCACAGCACTAGCAGGACGGATTGACTTCACAATCATGCCATTCTGTCCTCGATCAACAATGTCAAGGACAAGACCTAAGATAAATAATAATGCATTCATTTGCATGCATTTGCATGTAACACAATGCAAATGAATGAACATAAAGGACATTTTATGTATGACAAGCAAGAATGTGTGCTAGAAAATATTTTAAATATAGAAATGTTCACAAAATATGCTTTATAAACGCTTTTATGCAAAATGAAAACATTGTTAACTTGTAGCCTTATATTAATTGATCTGGACTTATACTGTTTTAACCGATATTCAAGTTTCCAGCAACCTACTTTTATTCATTGGTACAAATTAAGTACAATGAATGCTGTTACTCAAAATGTTAGCCTGGAAGCATATTTCAGTTTTTAATTGTAGGTATATATATATATTGTTGCTTTTTGATGTACTTTAGAATTAATTAATGTTCTTCAAACTGGATTTTATATAATTCATTGGACTTTATATAAATAGCATAAAACACAATATAATGTATGAATTTTTGGACTACATTGGATTAATTTAGAATTCAAACAACAAAAATCAGCATTATATTTGCAAATTTTCACAGGACTAGTTTCAATGGTTTTACCGAACCATCATCTTCAGCTGCAAAACCGCAAATGAACAAGATAGGAAATAATGATTAGATAAGATAAGAAGCCTGGACAAGATAAGCAAGTGGCGCCATCTGTTGGCGAAACCAGAACTAAACATAATTTCTCTTAAAGGCCGAAGGCAAATTTGGATTGGAATTAGGATCGTTAACTAGAACAGAAAGATTTTTATGAATGTGAAATGCCTCTAGAAAATCCAGTTCTCCAATGGAAGATGTTTTTTGAATAATTTTGGCAGCAGAAAAATTGAAAGTGTGATTTTCGGACCAACAATGTTGAGCAACAGAAGACTTCTGTGTTTCCTTTTTTCTAACATATGCCTCATGTTCTTTGACGCGAAATTTTAAGGCTCTCTTAGTTTGGCCAATGTAAATTAAACCACACTGGCAAGGAATCCTATAAATACCCCAGGAATTCATATCCGGAATGGGGTCCTTGAGTATAGAAGTTGGAATTTTATTGATGGGAGAATAAACAACCCGAAAGTTAAATTTCTGCAAAATATGTGCAACTTTATAGCTAATTGATGGAAAGAAGGGAATGACAACAGAATTTTTATAATCTCCTAAAATAAGAGTATGGCTTTTAGTGTGTTGAGATGAGAATTTTTTAACTGCTTGATTAATAATGTTGGGTGGAAAAGCCCCTGTCAATAGCTATTGCTTTTAAATAATTTAGTTCTTCATCAAGGGCTAGTTTGGAGGAGCAAACTTGAAGAGCACGGGAAACATAGGAATAAAATGAAGCTAACTTTTGGTTTAGTCGGATGACATGATTTAAAGTGTGGTGGAAGGCAAACCGATGAAGGTTTACGGTAAACTGTAGTACTGAAGTTGGATGTGTTACGTGTGACCAGAATGTCGAGAAACGGAAGAGAATTGCAAGTCTCAAGTTCAAAAGTGAACTGAATAGCAGGATCAATAGAAATTCATTGTTGAAAGAACTTTATTTAAATCATCTTTATTACCTTCAAACAGGGTAAAAGTATCGTCTACGTAGCGGAACCATGCCGGGAAGTTTAAAAGTTTCAATTTTGATTCATAATAATGCATGTAGATATCAGCCAGGATGGGACCTGAGGGGGCTTCCCATGGCTAATCCCTCAGTTTGCTTGTAATATTTATTTTGGAAAACAAAATGTGTTGTTTCAAACAGAGTTGAGTGAGAGAAATTAGCTCATCAATTTCGATGCAAGAGAAATGAAATTCGCGAAGTCTGGTTTCTAGACATCTTAATGCACCCTCCACTGGGACATTGGTGAATAATGATTTTACATCAAAAGAAACCATGAGTAAATTACTAGGAGAAATGTTTTTAACCTTTTTTACAAACTCTATTGAATTTTTTATGGTGTAAATGTTATTGTCTAATAGAGTGGAAAATCTAGAAACTAAATATTTAGCTAATGGGTGCGAGGCAGTGCCTAAATTTGATACAATAGGGTGGAAAGGAATGCCACTATTATGAATTTATGGAAGAGCATATAATCTGGCACAATTCGCAACAGATGGGATAAGCGACTGTTTTAAGTTGGTTGAAAGGATTTGTGGAGATCTGATCGCAGTTTTTATTTTTGACAAGTTTTTGAGAGGATGGTGGTTCGGTAAAACCCTGGAAATTAGTCCTGTGAAAATTTGCAAATATAACACTGATTTTTTGTTGTCTGAATTCTAAATTAATACTTGTTCGGTGTACATTGGATTATTTGATTTGGCAGAGCATATTAAAATCAGCTGCATTTGGGAAGGAATGCTTACACAGAAGCTTTTTTAAAGTAAACTTGTTCATACTTATATTACACATGAAGAAACCAGAAAGGAATTGTTTAATTCGCTCATCACCTTTTATGTACAGAACCCAAAGCAAACTATCCTTATGTAATGGCTTTAGCCAGCTGGTCAGATTACACATGTGGAAACAATATTCTTGTCATTTTATATGATATACTTTAAACCAGTGTTTTTTAACCGCCGGTCCGCAAGAAATATTTGGCAGTCCACAAAATATCCAGCTATCTGTTCAAAATCCAAAGTATCATCGGCCGACAACCGATATTACGACATCACCTACATTACAATAATAGTTTACTAGTTTAGAAAATAATATGATCGATGATGATTTATTTATGTGAAAAAAATTGTGGCAATGGGTTGAATTATTAAACTTACCGGTCCACGAGAATGTACCAAAATATTTTACCGGTACTTGAAGTAAATCCAGTTGAGAAACATTGCTCTAAACTGTGAAAAACAATTTGTTTGTTTATAATAAAGTTGGAATTTTTATTTGCATTCTTTTTATTTTGGTAAATACACATAAGCACATGCTCCCTTTCTATCCTTTTTTTAATTGCTCTTTTAACAGAGCAAATAAAATAAGAATCAAGTGAATCTAAGAAATGTATGATTGCTTACCATATTTAGCTCAAAATTTTACACCAAAAAGATAAAATTAAATGGAATGTCAATCATAGATGGCAAGCAAAATTTACGCCCCTCAAAAAGAAACCCCAAGAACTAGGTTAATGAATGTCATTTTTTTTTTAATTTAAACATTTATTTTGCCTGTTTCGTTTAGAGGCATTCAGGTTATTTAAGGGAAAATGGCTCTGATCTTTAGATGTAATCGCATGCATTAGATATTTTAAGCATCTTTATCTTTTTATATTAACATTTTTTTTCATTACCATTCATAAACAACTTTACAAATATATTCATTCTCAATGTTTTCTTATTTCATGAGACGAATTTTTAGATGCAGCTGGTCAACACAGCATCAGTTTTCAAATTTGTTATTTGGTTTTGATTAATAACCAAATACAGGGTTGATTAAATAACATCATGAAAAGTATTTTATTACCATCATTGTATTACTATTGATTCAAACTATCATTGCGATACTGTAGCATGAAAATTTTATATGAATGAAACCACAGTTAGAGACCAGTAAAACATTTTAGTTAAAGAAATTTGAAAAATAAGATTTAAGGTTTAAGGTTTATTATTTTGAGATAACCATACTTTCATCAGATGTTTTCTAATCTCTGCTACTTTTTTGTTTTCTTTTGCTTTGTTTAGCTATAAAACAATTGGAAGCATTTTACTCAAAAAGTGAAGAATCTGGCAAAAAATTCACTGTTACAACTGGGGAAAAAAACCCTGAGATATCACTTAAAAAAAAGAAAGAAAAGAAAAGCCATTCATTTACATGTACCACACTCAATACCAAAGTACTCACACAACCACAAAACCTTATCATGCAATAGCTTCTAAGTAAATCTAATTACATATGTATCATTATTAAGTAGAATTATAAGCAGTAATAAAATAAGAATTTACACCTATAACTTGTTGCCACAATATGATTTTCTGTTTACAGATTCATGCAGAATAGTGCCTAATCCAATAGTGCTGCGGATGTTTTGATCTTGAGAGAAATTTTCAGTGTAAAAAATAACTGATTTAATAAAATAAAGGAATCCATATGAAAAGACATAAAATGATATCCCACACAAACCAAACCTTAATCTTTGCATATCATACAGTGCTATATTAAAGATAGAGATAGAAGAATATATCAAATTAATTTCGAAAACTAAAATAAACAATTATGGATGTGACTGAAGCTGTATTAAAAAGTATGATTATTGAATTTAGAACCCAGTCAATGCAACTATAACATGCTGTTAAAAGTCAAAAATACTCACTTCCTGTTGTTGTTAACTTCAAGAGGTAAATAGTTTTGAAATTTTACATCTAAAATTTATTTATTTCTCAACTAATTAAATTTTATTTCATTTAATTACTCTTCAGTTTTTAAACTAAAACCTTTGATTTCCTACTATCTTATAGACTACACTACATTTATGTTCTCTTCTACAGCTATAAATTCGAGTGATTTATGTTACACTTTTTGAGAACATACCCATGTACACTTTATAAATTTAAAGCTCATAACTTAAAAATGATAGCTCATACAGTTATTATCCAATTAATTAAAAAAATCAGTTTCTTTTTAAAAGTATATTTTTTCTCAGACATATCAAACTTGATTAACACATTTAGTTGCTACTATCTACAAAAATATTCATAGTTAGTAAACTGAGTTTACTTGACAGCTATAAGAGACAAGTTACTGACTGTCTCACCTAAATCTCCAACTATGAGTATTGCTATATCAAATACATACAATTTTTAGATGTTTGGCATACAGGAAGGGACTACATAATACACTTAATGTAGCGAAGTGGATCATTTATTTCTCCAAATGTAAATACAATAATTAAATTTTTAGAACCCGAAACCTTTTTTGGTGTTACTGTTGTTTATTCACTTGGGAAATGTTATAAATAGCCTGTCCAAGTTCTTGTTCAATGACTCATATAAAACTAATGGAAATAATGTATCACGAAAGCAATGGTTTTGTATGAATGCAAAAAACATGTAAAAATTGTTTATCTAAATCCAAATTATCTTGTAGTTGGCCCTGGAAGCACCAATAAAATAACAGAGAATAATTTAAAAAGTATAACACCACAGAGAGGATTGTGAACAGATGCATCATACCAGTTTTGGCAGCAACCATGTTAACGAGGAAGATTATGGTTAAGGATTATGATTCAAAATTTAAACATCATTTGCAACAACAGCATCAATAATAATAAACCAATAATAATAAACAGTAGCAATGAGAAAATTATAAAAATTATTTTTTGCATCAGAAATAAAAGTTTTGAAAAATATCTCAGTACACTTTGACAGTAAGTCAAATTCTGTAACTAAAATATAAAATAGAAATGAAAACAAGAAATTCTTTCCATACTTGAAATAAAATAATTTCTGTGCAAACACCTGCAATTATAAATTATAGACAGATAGTATTGGTCAATGATGACTTTACTTTGAATTCCTGAGTAACCAAAAAATTTCCCAATGAAAATCAGTCCAACTGTAGTACAATTATCATAGCAATAATATGCAATACATTACAAATGATATTTGAAATTCTTATGTAACTTAAGACAGTACAAATGATTATTATTATTTTTAAATACAAAATCAGCTAACGGTGTTGTTGAGTGCAGTAAAACTGGATAAATTAAGTTGCGCAATTGCCATGGTCATTAAAAATGAAAGCTGTAGCCCAGCACATCATAATGATTAAAAAAACAAAACTTCAACATGAACATTCAGATTTTAAACTGACACAAGAAAAGAGTCATATAACATATAGTTTGCTATGAAACATGAACATAAAAACATGCACATGCCTCAAAATATTAAATTTTTTTATAATCCAAACTAGTGTGCATACATAACATGTTATCTAATAAAACTAAAATCTAATCTTATTATAAGAAATGTGCATATTTATTAGACTAGAAGAGAAACACGCTAATGTGAAATCCAAATCGTAAAAACAACCTTGTATTTAGCGTAAATATAACGAAACAATCAATTTCGAGGGCAGCTAAAGGTTTCTCCTCATCAGGAGAAAGAAGAAAATAAAGGAGAAGGAGTCTCAGAAACAGGTGGTCCTTATCAGCACTGCACGTGGTTATAACTGGATTTTTAATCAGAGTTGCACTGGCCACCTACTTTTACTGAGCCAGGCTATCTGATCAAGCATAAAGGACAAGAAAAATTAGCGAAGTTAAAATAGGGAGCGAGGGGCAAATGCACCTTCACGATCAAAATCTGAACTTCAAATAATGGAAAGCAACCACTGAACATATTTTTATATAATTACTCGTAACGTTAATTTTAACAACAAATCTTTGGGTTCGAATCTTAGCAGAAAGGAAAATGAGATCATACGTGAAATCCATTCTAATACTAATATCATTATCTCTAAAGCTGATAAGGGCGGACAGATCATTGTTATGGACAAACACACATATATTACTGGAGTCTCTAAACTGATAAATGAAGGCCCATGCTGCTCGATCCCTAAAGATCCTTCAACTTCGGACCTCACGAAAGTTAAAAGTGCTATTAAATCTTCCCACATTCTGCCAACTCAGTTGAAGAAATCACTTATTCCACCTATTACTAATTGTGCTAGGCTTTATGCTCTTCCAAAAGTCCACAAAACCGGTATTCCTTTTCGACCAATTGTTTCCAACATAGGTACTGCTTTATATACTTTGGCCAAATATTTAGTTTCCAGATTTTCTCCTCTACTTGCCAACAATATTCACACTGTAAAAAAATTCTGTTGAAGTCATTGATAAACTTAAAAATATTTCTCCACTTCATTCCATTATGGTTTCATTTGATGTCAAATCACTGTTTACTAATGTTCCGGTCGAAGGAGCACTAAATTGTCTTGAAACTAGGCTTCGGGAATTTCACTTCACACATACTGAAATTAATGAGTTGGTTTCGCTTACTAAAGTTTCTCTGAGTCAAATCCACTTTGTTTTCCAAAATGTATATTTTCGTCAAGTTGAAGGATTGGCTATGGGTAATCCTCTCAGTCCGGTACTTGCTGACATTTATATGCACTATTTTGAGATGAAATTATTTGATAACTATCTTTTCGTCTTTGAATTCGGTATGCTGAAGACACTTTCGCACTTTTTGGCAGTTATAAAGAGGATTTATCCGAGATTCTATCTATTATGAATTCAATTGATCCAGCCATCCAATTCACTCTTAAAATTGAATCCAACAATTCCCTTCCCTTCCTTGATATTCTTATAATCCGCAATGAAACTGATTTTAGCACCACTGTGTACCGTAAGCCCTTTGCAGTTTCTTTACTACCCCATGCCAAGTCATGCCTCCCTGTTAAGCAAAAAATGGCTTCTTTTTACTATTATGTATTCCGCGCGCTTAAAGTTTGTTCCTCTAAATCTTTGCTTACTAATGAACTTAATTATTTGAGAGCAGTTGCGATTGACCGTGGATTTTCTCCCGTGATTATTGATAAAGCTGTCAAAAAATTTTCAGATTCCCATCAAAGAAGACATTCCACTGTTAGAAATAATATTAATGACCTTGTCGTGCTTCCATTTTATCCTTCCATTAGCTATAAAATTGCACGGATTCTCCAGAAATTCAATTTTCAAGTCGGTTTCTACCCTATTAATAAAATTCACCCTTCAATTCTAAAAGATTGCGTTTCTGTCTTGAATTCTTGGGGAATTTATAGTTTTATCGTGTCAGTGTGGTTTAAGATATATTGGCCAACAAAAAGAGCGTTGAAGTTTCGTATCAAGGAACATTAATCTTATGTCAGAAAGGCGAAATTAACAAGTCTTCAATAGCGTATCATAGTTGGACATTTAACCATAATTTTGACTTTGGGTCTGCAAAAATTATCCAAAAGGCTTCTTCCATAGGTGAATTGGATTTTTTTGAGGCTTTTCACATTCACAAAGATATAGCAGGTTTAGTTAATGATTTGAAGTCCAATCCAGTCCTTCCTAATGCCTTTAAAATTCTACTATCTTAATTCAGTCATTTTTGCCGATAGATGGCATTACCTCCTCGCATTTGGTACTACCAGAGGGTATAAAAATCCGTTCAGTGGTTGCTTTCCATTATTTGAAGTTCAGCTTTTGAGCGTGAAGGTACATTTGCCCCTCGCTCCCTATTTTAACTTCACTAATTTTTCTTGTCCTTTATGCTTGATCAGATAGCCTGGCTCAGTAAAAGTAGGCGGCCAGTGCAACTCTGATTAAAAATCCAGTTATAACCACGTGCAGTGCTGATAAGGACCACATGTTTCTGAGACTCCTTCTCCTTTATTTTCTTCTTTCTCCTGATGAGGAGGGACCTTTAGCTGTCCTCGAAATCGATTGAGTGTTTCGTTATACTTACGCTAAATACAAGGTTGTTTTTACGATTTGGAGTGCATATTTACATAATATGTTACTTAAGTATGAATTGTAAAGAATTTCAAATTCTATCAGCCAAATTTTGCTGAAATCCAGATATGAAGAAAAATACAGATATTTTTAACACTTTTTAAATAAAAACAATTCTTATACTTACTATAGAATAAAACCATGTTCTTAAAATTCAGTTAACTTTTTAATTGATAGATAATTGTACTCTATATGACACTATGAAATTTATTTTAAAATTTTATAATCACAATGCTTTACTTCTGATGCAGACAGTAACGTACAATTAAAAAACTGTACAAAATACAGAATTTCTCTGTAACTGAAGAACATAACACACCAGAAATGCCTTTTTATTTATACCTGGTATGACTGTTAATCTATAGCTACGAAGTTAATTAATTTATACATACCGTTTAAAAATCACATCTTAAAATTGATTAGCAAAATACTACTGTGATTTGGAAAATTATGAGTTTAAATAATTATAATAAAAAGTACATATAATAAAGAGAAGATGACTTTAAAATATAGAATTGGTCACAGCTCCCTCTTCTTAAAAATGTAAAAATAATAATACTTGAAATAGCATGTTCATATGTTAAAATACGAATTATCTTATCTATTTCTTACATCATATATTAATGACAGCATAAATGTTCCCACAAATACCAAAAATAAAATAATAAAATCCATAATATGGTTATAAAAATGAATATAATGCTTTTAAACAAGAATAAATACACAATTCAATATAAGATATGAAACAATATATTACCACAGCAAAAGAGTATTTCAAACACAGCAATTTACCCAATTTATTATTTCCTTTTTTGATTTTGACAACCCTTTCAAGCGCAGCAGGCAAAAGTGGAATATCAAATCCCCATAACCTTCCACTTGAGGACAAACCAGGACTGCTAAAAGGTGTTGAGCAACAGGAATCATTACCAAACGAAAATAAGGATGAAGGCGTCTGTGATCTTGTTGCATAAAAATTCAGGGGTTCTTCATAAGTATGACATACACCATTGTACTCCTAGGTAAATGTATATAAAAATCAGATTTCCTGAAAAATCAGATTTCACATAATATTAAAAAAGTTTCTGAAATTGAATTGATAAGACTTTGTAACATAATCAAAATTCTTAATTATGCATAAATGCTACAGAATGAATAGGAATTTACAAAAATTTGCAGAGCTGCTCCATTCGAGACAATTTCTTCTCTACTTTCAATTGGTTCTTTAAAAGAAATCTGAAATAATAGGAAAAAACTTTAATTAGAAAATGCACATACTCCTAAATTCTATTCAAGAAAACAAGAACTAAAATAATTAATTATAAAAAGCATTTATAGTTTATCATTCAGGTGATCTTTTATTCAAATCAATAGTCAATGTAGTAAAAAACAAAAGTCACAACTACCAGCTGCTGCTCGTAGAGAAATATTTTTATTGCTTATCTCTTTAGAATTCATGAAACTAAATAAACATCTCTCTTTACTATAAGCAATACTGCAGCCCCAATCAGAAATACCATGTCTTTTCCCCCTCTCCCAGTGGTCTTCTTAAATGGCACAAATTTTCACTGGCACTGCAAAATGTTTGAGAATATTAGAACTTTTTTTTTTAAAGAAAGATTACACATATTTTAGCAGTGTGTGTGTGTGTATGATTATGGCAAAGCCTCGAGGGCTATCTGCCTAAGGGGAGGGATTCCTTCGTGGAGGACTTTCTAAGTGAAACTGGCTCGTATACATGTTACACATTAGGAAATCCACGAAAATGACCATGCAGCCAGCCTGTTCGCAGGATTCGAACCTTGGACCCAATTACCAGTGTTCAGTGACTTTACCGCTCGGCCGCTGGTGGGCTCTATATTTTAGCAGAATTTTGCACTAACATCATACATAGTGCTAAATTACTAAATAGTAAAATAATAAACTGATATCACATACAATATTAAATCTTATAAAACGATGAGAAATACGTCTATTTAAGTTTTTTTTTTTTTTTTTTCATTCTTTTTTTTTAACTTTTGTATGTAATGTTTTAATTTTTTTTTCTTTATAAACAAAGGGGTAATATCAATACAATACTTGTAATATGAATGTTGAACAAAACACCGTGAAAAGTTTTGAACAACTGAATTGCAGTTCCAGACACCAAAAGTGCTTCTGTTAAAATAAAATTTATATTAATTGATTTTAACACTCACAATTTTGTTAACTTTATTTTCAGAAGAGCTTACACCTATATTTTCCATCATATTTAAAACTTCAATGATTGGCATAATCTTATTATTAACACAATTTATTGCTTTAAAGAAATTATTAAACTCTTTTTAACTACTATTTCAATAACCAAATACCACTATAATGAAATGAACAAAGCACAGATATTTATCAAAGTTTTCTCTTGTTGCAGGAAAAATTACATAGTAACTGTAATGCCATCTATGTTCAATAAAATCAGGTATTTTCTGCAAGTAATTCTTATCTGACAATGCAAGAAACTTTCCTAAGACTTCCTTTTGGCTGTTTGCATCAGAAGAAAATCCACTCTAAGAATAGAATTCATTTGGGTTTTGTCTAGCAGGAACTCCATTGTGATTAACTTAATTTCTGAACTTTCAAGTGTGTAACTTTTTTGTAAGCATAGGTTGTTCATGACTACCAAGGGGTTTGCAGTAGTGGCTCTCAACATTTTTTCCTCCATGTATTTCTTTCATCATTGCTAGATCATTCTCCACTCCCTTTTCCAAAGTCATAAAATAAATATACATTTATTTAAATTAAAATCATTTTTAAGGGAACAACAGGAAGCAGGTAGAGTCAGGTTGACCATATCTACTCTGAAACTATGATATCCCCCCCCAGAGAGGAAATTTTTCCCAGGTTGAGAGACCCTGGTTTGTACAGTAGAACTCCAAATGTCCAGACACCACATATTATGAACTCACAATAAACAAGCTCATTTGTGTCTCTTTAAATGTAGTAAAATTAACTTTCCTCTTAATTTATAAACATGCTTTTAATTTTGATTGAATTCAATAATGTAAAATAATAACAAATATGGTTCAATGTATATTTACAATACAAATACTCTACACGATAAATTTAATAGTGTACATTAAATTATTAACTTTTATAATTAATTTACATAAATAATGCTGTATTTGACAATTTTTGTTCTTTTAAGGCCTTGAGAGTTATATGCAGTAGTATGTGTAAAAACATGGTTCACTACCAAAAGGAGTACAATTGCACTAAGTTGAAAACATAAGATTTAATGGTCACTCTCCTTAAGTTTAACCAAATTGATGAACATATCATGTCAGACTATATGACATGTTAGCAAAATCATACAACGGATAACATACGAATGTACACTTGACTGGTACAACATGAGTTAAGTCTGCTCATTCAGTCAGGCAGGTACTTGGCAGTGTATTAAAATTATCCAGGATACTTGGGGTAGATTCCTATTACAATGTTGTCTTCCACTGTGATATTTCATGATAGGACTCCATGCATCCCATTGCCACACCCTGCTCGAGAGAATCATGGCTACTGACCACGTCGACGGACACCCCAGATAAGCATATCAGGAAGGATGCAGTCTTCACCACCATCAGAAGAACACATAATCTTCAGCAGAACCAGGAGAACATACAGTCGACACCATGCACTCTTCCTTTCCATCAGGAGGATTCTACTACTGCTTATATAGTTCACCTTTTCTGCTCAGTGCAGTCGCAAACCAGAGGAATGGAAATTCCAAAAAATAAAGACTAACATCTCAGTTTTATTGAAAGTAATATGTTATGCCTTTTTTACTTCCTACCAGAATCAGTTTTTAGAATTGCGTTGAATGCAAATGAGTTAGGGGTAGTATTTATTGGAAGTTTAACTAACTTCGATATAGAGTGCTAGGAGTCCTTAGTGGCATGTGTTTGTCTTCCGGTTAATTTATTCTTGAAGCTGTTATGCTTGGCCATATTATACGTGCCTATGGATATTTGCTGGCTAGTTTAATTTAAGGGCTAACTACATTACATAATTGTGTCTAGCTTTGGTTAAGTCTAGGTTAGTTATTAGTAGATAAGTTTCTTATTTTCTTATTCTTAGTTAAAACCGAGTAGAGGCTTTTCTGTAAGTCTGAGAAGGGACCGATTATATTGTTTATTTGAGAGAATAAAAGAGTAATTTAACCCTTCTTGTGTCTACATCTTAGTAGTTTGAACTCAGCGATAAGTTGCCACTTAGTTCATTTAGGTACCTCGACATTTTATCATAGACAAAGGGCGAGGAACATCACACTGTAACCAAAGTAGAAGGGAAATACGACCTTTTTAATTCGGTCGCATGTCAAATTACAGTTTCGACATTGTCTGATTCAGGCCTATGGAGTGATGAGGAAATCAGAAAACAACATTTGAAAGACGGTGACATTAAACCCATAACTGGCTTAATGCAATCTTCTAATAAGAAATTTATCTTTCAGGACATTTCGATCTGTTATTCTACAAAAAAAAATTTTAATCTCTCTAGGACTCATTCCATATTTGAAATGGCGTCTTGTACTGGAAGTTCGAATTGGATGATGGAAAGACATTGGGATGGCTTTTTTACACACATATAAAGTAATGTTCTTGGTTTAATCTTACTACAAAAAATAAAGATAAAATCATATGTTTAGTTTTATCAGTTTAAATAAAAATGGATGCATGAAAATAATTTCAGGATTTACTTGTAATGGAGAAACAATTCCCCCCCCAACCACACTTTGTTTCATGGAAATACAAACACTTTTCTTAAATACCTGTTAAAATAACAAAAGAGTAATTTTTTGTTTTTATTTTCATCATAATGAATATATGTTTGACATACAGATAAAAAAACAAGTCAGTCATTCAGAATTTTTGTTTATCTGGATGGGCTACTTTGCCTGTTAGTTTTAATGCTTAGAGTTCTACTGTACTCTGTTAAAATTTAAAAGGATTAAATTTCATTTATTCCTATAATATGAATTAGAAGAAAATATAAAATGCCATATTAAAAGAAAGAATTAAATACCCCATTTTGAATACTAGTAATTTAGTCTTTATTTTTGAATGAGGAAATATCTAAAAATGCTATCAAAATTTAGGTATGGGAATAAATAAATGTAATGCATATTAAATTTAGTAAAATCAAATATGTTCTCAATTTAGTGTTTGTTTTGATTGGTCTGGTGTGAAATATAAAATTTCTATCAAATTATCTCCAATCAAACCCACAAACCCACCATTTCTATGATTTAATGATAATGTTTTATAAAATTAGAACCTTCTGAAGCCATGCATACGATATTTTTCTTAAAGGTTTCCATTTCTCAATTTTCCTTAGGAAATGCTTTTATACACCCCCCCCCCAAAAAAAGTTTCAAGAGAAAAATTTTAATTAAGTGGCAAGCCTACTTGTGAGAACAAAGTCTAGTTACGCAAATTCTAATATTACAGTAACTCTGATTCACAATATAACAAAACATAAACTGCTGTCACAAAGTGAAACCTGGGAGCCTGAGAGATTAAAACTATTCAAAAAATTCAGAATAAACAGGTAAAACTTCTGAAATTAATCAATTCTAAAAGCAAAGACAGACTAGGGAAATAGCTTATGAAAGTCACCTCTGAATAAAATAAAATTCTATAATGTGTAAAATAATAGTTTGATGTGAATAATACTGATTTTTTTTATTTACAATTCTTGATAAAGGAAATGCCAATAATGTTTTACAACTAATACTGAAAGCTATACAACTTGTATATATGAACAAAAATGTAGCTTTTATCATGCTTAAAATTGAATTAAGAAGCATCCTCAAATATCCACAATTAAAGATACTTTTTATGAGTTTTATAATAATTATTTACTAGTGTTTGATTCTGTTCGAAGTTTGCATACTATTTCATAGCTCTCTGTTGTAGAGTTTTTTTTTTTTTTTTTTTAACATGTAAAATTTATGGCTGGTTTAATACCTACAGTTTATTTTGTGAACTTACATGAATGTTGCTAAAGTCACATATGTTTCCAATTTAACACAAATAAGCATTTTGATATACAGAAAACAGATTTTTAGATTTATTATATATTTCAAATGACAGTTAAAATTTATAACTTCAGAAAACGTTTTTTACATCAAAAAATTAGTTATTAAAGATGCAATATATTACCATCATGACTGACAGCCATAGAATATTACTTAAATGGAATCGGTGTATTGTCTTACTAAGTTTGGGTACATACTGATTTGGGTGATAGGCATTTTGTGCCAATCCTCTTAAATAGTGAACAATTCTATGTTAAATGTGCCACATAACTCTTGTCAACTGTAAATTAATTATTAACTCTAGCTTATATCAGGGATGTTAGAAGGTACTCATGTCAGAACTTTGGGCCAGCCAAGTTCATTTATTTCCATTTCCTCAAACTATTGAACTACTCAAAAATTTTAATTTTGGTTTTAATTTTGGGAATCAGTGAACAGTAAATTGAAAACCATAATGTCAGATATCAAATTTTTGGTAGAATTGTTCAAATCCTGACGAATAAGTTTTTTAATTTAAAGATCAGATCAAACCAAGAAAAACAAACCAATAATATTATTCCTTTTCTGGTACACTCTAGAGTGGGAACAGTAACTTGATCATTCAGATCCATACAAATTCGTTATTGCACAACACATAATTCATCATTATATATGAAATTCTGAAGTCCACAGATAAGATGTTTTGCAAAACTAAATTATAGCAAAAGATCAAATTATCGATTATCGGATTATGTGCAGCTGTTCACTTGTGAAATCACAATGCAACACCTCTCAATTAATGGTACAAGCCCTATGATCACGTCCAGATATCAGCTGAATGTCTATGACCATAATTTAAAGCAAAGCTGACTCATTTGGTTTCATCCTATATCAGAGGCATTAATATTTATCCATCATTTTGGGAATTTTTTTAGTCAGAGAAGAGGTTCTATAATTCATTCCCTTTTCTACTTCATTACTAATTCATTCACTTTTGCATATGATATATGGAACTTGCAAGAAAATCTCATATAGAGAACGACTGAAGCAGTCAGCACAGATAATTACCACCCCTTCAATCTCACTCTACTCTTATTGTACATCCACTTCAGTAGCTGTAATTAGTATATATTTCTACCAAGCACTCAAAATATTTTATAGGCTCACAACATGAATTAGTAGCATAACAGCAACCCTACTTTTCTTTCAGTAGGTACATGTTCATTAATGGTAATATAGCGGATATACTGACAAACATATATACATATATACAACAATGCATTTTTATACAAGCAGCTACTTTGATGCTAAGGTTTTAAATAAAGTGCAAAAGAAACAACATGATGCACAAAATTCAAAAACTTTTACGTACCTTGGCAGGCACACTTCTAGATAAAGTCGTTGGTTTTGCTATTCCTAACCGAACAACACCTTTGGGCACATTCTTTAAAACCTGAGTTGCCATATCAAAGTTTGTATGACGAAAATTTATGTTATTTACAGATAACAGACGATCGCCAGGCAAGAGACGACCATCCAAATGTGCTGCTGCTCCAGGTACCAAACTCCAAATTATTATTACATTTTCATCCTGAATGCTAGGCGTCAAAGAATCCTGAAAAGTTAAAACTTCTATCAAGTTTCAATAATTGTTAGCTTACTACTATATTTATAATTTGCAAATCTACTTCAAAATGCTTCAGAATAAAATTCTTCCAAAAGTTTGGTAATTTCAAAGAGCCATTCTAACAAAGAAAAAAACATTTGAATCTGATAATTTAATCTCATTTGTTCTATGCATCACCAAAAAAATTAGTTTTTGATTTTTTTCTTTTTTATTATATATTTCATAACTACTAAAACTTTACTTTTACATAACTGACTCATTTAATGATTTCTAAAAATTCTGGTTAAAAAATATTTAGGAAATAAATAATTTAAATTTATTGGGTATAAGAAATGGAAATATTATATAATTATGAATGAGAAGATAGAGAAAGGGATTTTCTGCAGTTTTCTAAAAACAGCTCCCTTATGAAACGAATGATAAAATAATAAATGACTATTAAAGATAATTTTCATTCTTTATGTAATGAGCAGCTAAGTTTTTCTCAGTTCCTTTTACATTAGATGATGAATTATGCATGACATTATGTAATAAAACAAGCCATTTTTCTGAATACAAAAAGTATATATTATAAATAACCTTAGAAATTATACTGAATTTCATGGGAGGGGAAAAAATTAGATAATGTTAGAGTGCAAAAAAAAAGTTAGTTATTAAAGTATAAAATATACCAAAAATACAGCCAGATGCCAAAAATTTATGAACAGCAAACAAGTCACTTTGAATCATACAGATGCAGATAATAACCTAGGAGTAGAATAATGCTGATTACATACATAAATAATATAGAACTGATATACAGGTAACTAAAAATGCAAAAGTTTAAAAAATAATAAATATGCTGCATAAAAAATTATCATAAATACTGGTAAACTTGCAATAATTCTAAAGCATCATTCCTAGAATTACATTAAATGATATACATTTCATATTACTAGCATAAAAAAACTAAACATGCAATACTGCTGGGTATGCAACATTACTAAAAGCATAAAAGGGGGAGAAAAGGTACTTTTGAAAATAATATTTACAAGACACATGTAACATAAATGTTTATAATCATGCAAGCCTTTAGCCCATAAACTAAAAGAAAGATTGCTTTGTAATAAGAACATAAACTAAGCATTCAGTAGCATAAAACAATAAAATGTTTAATTAATCTAAAAATGCTATATAATATGTATAACATACTTGCAGTATTTTAAGAAAAATGTTAACATTTTTGTTTTTATAAGGATTAAACACAATAAAATATTAATTTACTGTTTTTAATTTTGTTTAATATTAATGCTAACAGCTTAACTACAATAAAAATTAACTAATCTTTTACTTTATGAAAAGTGCTCTTAAATAATATTGGATATTTTCTGTCACAGGGCAAACATGTCAAACAATTTTCTCTAGAATGATAATATGCACAAACATTATACTTACAGCATGTAAAAATATTTTCATCATCAGTTCATTTTAATCAAGGTAAAATGTTTCTGAGCATAAGAAAGATACTTTTAGGTTAGTTATTTTGAAAAAATAGCACACTTAAAAAAACTTTTTTGCAATACTTACTTTGAAAAAAAGAACACTGCTTTAAGAAATAAGAACAATACATTTAATTTAACAGTAGTCAAATAGGTAATACTGCTCACATATCATTCTGTAGAAAAATAATTTTATACATGTTGCCTGTAACAGAAAAGGTCCAAAATATTTTTTATCTCCCTTTAAGTAAACTATCCAATGAAAACAATCTAAAATTTATAACAAATATTTTTTAACTGAACTCAATGTTTTAAAACTAAATGAAATGAACATAGAATATTAAATCACATATTTTATTTTGTATGATATAGTAAAAATGGTAAAAAACTGATGTAAATATCAAAAGTTAAATTTTTTTAAAAAAATTAAAATAATTTTTTTTATCAAAAATGTAAAAAATATATAAAATAAATGCACAAATACAGTTTTAAATAAGTTTCATAAAACTGTTATAATTTATATACTAAATCTTTCAAAGGCAACATCTAGTACATCAATATAACTCTCATTTCTCTTAACTCCTGAAAAGTTTTGCAACAATAAATTACAGGAATATATAATGAACTTTCTCTAAGATAAACATTGATGGTTGCAGTTGATTTTAGTCATCAATATATCTAACATTCAGTATAGCATTTTCTGTTTATAACAGAAAAATTCAGTAAAAAGGTAACAGTTACATTTCTGTTGCAGGCTAACATTCAATGTATCTTTTTCTGTTTATATTCTCCAACTTTTCGATCCCTTTCAAAGCTGATCATTTTGAGAAGATAGTAATGATTATGACAGGATTCACAATATCAGTGAAATAATTATAAACAACTTATATAAAGAAAATACTCAAATATGTTAAATTTTTATACATTTTTATACAATTTACAGAAGTGTGTAAAATTTTATGACATTTTAATTATGTGTGGAAGAGACAAAAATATACAGAGTGCCAAATAAATAATGCAAAACTTATTACATTAGCATGATAAATTTGTCATATTATTTTTAAAAAAATAAATCAAAAAGAAAAAACAAATGGTGATCAAATATTTTTTAATTAATAATTTAACAGCATCATACTTCTAATAGATTAAATGAAATTCAAAAAATAAAAAGCTTTCTCAATGTTTCAAACTCAGAAACTATAGATTAAGGTAGACCTTTTGTTTCAATATGTAAGAAATCACACCTTGTATTCTACAATACTAAATCCAAGACCTTCTTCTCCCTTTATCAGATCAATAAAATGTGGTTCACTACTCCATGTAGCCAGAGATGAAAGTAATTCCAAAGATCTTCTATTGAGGTTTTTGCAGTTATTTGGATAGCATTTTCGAGACACAAGGTAAGAGTCAGACTTAGCTTTCACTAGCCTTTCAGACCAAGGAATTAAAGATAAATTACTAGTCCAATGATGTGATCGACCACAAGTTAAATAAATGTTTGGTGGAAGTGATTTGAAAATGGAAAGAACTTCAGAATATTTCACATCCTGCAGCTTTTTACCATTCACCTGCAAAAATTAAAATAGACATATATAACTCAGTTCAGTTGTAATCCTAAACATGTGTTACAAAAATTATAATGTAGTTATTATAAATTTAAAATGTTAAGCATGATCTGATCTAAAATCTAGATTGCAGAGAAAAATTAATAAATTACAAATTATCAAAACAGATATGATTTTACTTTAAGCAAATTTCTAATGTTAATTAAATTTCAAAAACTACAAAATTCATTTCAGCAGATATATAACATTTCTTTATAGTCCAATTAAGACATAAAGGACATTCAAGAGTGAAAACAACAAATACAGTTTTATACAAAGACCAAATAATTATACGTGCAAGGTCAGGCTGTATTAAAGTACACCGCAAGAAGAATATATTTTCAGAGACAGATATGGCATACAATTAATACATGTTTTGTTTGAAAATGAGGAGCACCAAAGTTCAGGTAAAGGGGCAACTTACTTTATACATCTTGCTTTAGAATATATTATCTAATCTTAGTCCTGAATATAACTTGTTAATTTCCTTTTAATTAGATGGTCTTATCAAAATCACCATATATGTGCCCACATTTTATTTGAAAGCTGAAGAAGAGCTGATCAAAGAAATAATGCAGTATCTATGCCTTAAAACAGCATATAGATAAAAAACCCATTCAGCACTTCAGTTATTCACAAGCAACTCCAGCACTTCATCAATACATATAGCCCATCAGCAGCTCAGCGGTAAAGTTGCTGAACACTGGTAGTTCCATTCAAGGTTCGAATCCTGCAAACAGGGTCGCTGAATAGGCATTTTTGTTACTTTCCCCATGTGTAATGTGTATATGAGCCAGCTTCAATTAGAAAGTCCTCCATGAACGCATCCCTCCTTTAGGCAGATAGTTCTCGAAGCTTTGCCATAACTAAATAAACTAAACCAATTATATATATCCCTTCACCATACTCAACAAAGATAGGACTTTATCTCATTGAAAACCCTTACAAGAAAAAAAAATTTGGAATGTTTTCATTACAGATTATTCATTCGACCCACACCTGATTCTAATACAACAGGGAAAAAAATCTGAAGGTTTCAGATTTTAACAGTTGCCTAAAAGGGTTTGTTAAGGTTTTTTATGCTTTTGCTGACCTCGCAGTCTACAAGGCTACTGTTACACTCATTCCTACTAACACATTTTCTTTTGTCTTCTTAACTTTATTATTAAGCATCATTTTCTTCGTACTTTCTTCGTACTTACGCTATATACAATTCAACAGGAAAATTACAAAAATTTTAAAAGCGGCATAGCAGTGTACATTTATTATTCTTAATGCAGCTTTGCACTAATTTTTTTTTTCAAGTCTTTTCTCAATTCATCATATCAATACTCAGTTTTCTTACTAAGATGGCTTTACAAAACTTTTTTGTCTTTTTTATGATTAACGTTTTGTGTATTTAGTTTATTTAATATCACATCCTTAGCACTTATGCCACACAAAATTTGATTCAACAGCAAAATCATAACATTTTTAAAAACAGCTTATCTTTACAATTTCTGACAGACAGTCTCCCGCAGTACAGATAAAATGCTTTATTCGGTACAGTGTTGCCACTGCTCGCTTTGAAACATTGAGTTTGTTCATCAAAAATTTTAATTTGTTAAAGTTTTACAGAATATGAAATAGATAATAAAACAAATTAAAAATCTGGGTTTCAAGATGACCATGTTCATGTATAGGATTATGTTATTTAAAATCTGATGGCTCCAGGTACCATTGTTTTTTCACAATGTGAGAAACATACATACATACATTCATGCAGATTCTTTGTTGTTTAATTCCTTTCAATATAACACAGGACAATAATATTTGGTGGTAACAATCTGAAAAGTGATAAGCCATTTTCAGTGATTCAACACAAAATGCCATTTCAAGATTAATATCCCCTTTGGAACTAATGTGCCTTTTGGGCTAATAAAATGTGATGTGCAGACGACATTTAATATAACACACTAAAAGTAAAATTTCAAACTTCTGTTATTTTAAATAGTATTTTTAAATATTTGGCAACATATGCATACATAATTTCTAAGAAATAAATAGCAACTGAATAATATCGAGAGAACAGTAAATTTCGACACATAGTTGTTATTTCACTGTGACAGTTTAATAAAAATAAACAGTACATTATTTTATTGTTAAAAATATCAATTTTTGTTTTAAAAAAAAAGAATACTAGAATAAATTTAAAATTTATAAACTACCTACAAGTCACTAAGTAGACAGCTATAATACATGGTAAACACACTTTTTCTTTAAATTTACTATACTAATTGTACCTCTAACAGTTCATCACCAATAAACAGAGCTCCACTGCGATCAACACTATAGCCTTTGCATATATTGGATATAAAATGATGAAGAACAGATTTTTCATCTCTTCTAGTTTCCACATTGAAACCAAAACCTATTTCATTATCATTCTTCTGCAAACCTGTTATCTGCAAATAAACAGAAGATTTTATTTGATGCACAAAGAAAAGCAAATAATTTTTAACAGAAGCAATGCTTTATACAAACTGCATAGAACAAGCTAAAACTTACAATTATTTCAATTTTGTTCCCAAGTATTTTTTCCCATTTTGCTTTTATTTCTTCTGATTCGGCAGAATTCAGTGTATACACTGCAAGATTTAAACACACCATAAGAAAAATTCATATGTAAAGGCAAGATATGGTACAAAAAACTGTTTATACACTGAAGTAACTAAAATAGGGTTTTGGAATATATTTAAAAAATTGATTTTTTCATACTTGCACTTTTGCATTATATGCTATAATAGAAAATTTAAAACAATGGTACATACTAAGTAATGTTAAACATTTTCTTCCCATGCAATATTGTATTAAAAAGTTACCAATAAAATTTAGGAATTATGGTTGCCAGCCAAGTATCTGGCATTCAACTAACTGGATACCTCAAATAAAAAGAATATTTTAAAATTTTGCAAACTTTTCTCTTTTTAACAAAAAATTAAGGAAATGAGAAATTTGTAAAGATATCATAAATTAAGTATAGCACTACAACTAAAAATATCACTTGTAACACCTCAAATGTGAATACAATTACAAGGCTGTCCTTCTGGTGTTGATTAGGACCATCCATTCACATACACTATTATAGCAATTATATTGTTCCATAGACACTCCTCATAGAAAGAGGAGTTAGTATGTCATGGGAACATATGAGAGACATCCAAGTTCATGACAGGCATTTATTCTGTATCACAAGAACTACTCTTGCCAGAAAGCTTCACATCAATCATTTTTGACATTCCAGACAACTATTTTTGCCAAAGGAAAGCTATTGCCAAATAGTACGATTTAGCACTAATAATGATAAATATCATGTCACAACACAATCATAAGACCTTCATCTTGACCTTGTGTAAACCCAGTTAATTCTCGACAAGCCAGTAAAAAAGCATAGAAGTTAACTGCTATTTATCTGTTTTACCCTTACATTTTGATCAAATGATTAAAATTTGGGACCTGCCCTCAACAGAATAGTACGCAATAGAATATTTTTCAAAATTATAGGATCCTGCCACAGGTACATTAATGGGCACGGCATGTGACTTGATTTGAAAATGGATACACAATGGCAATGCAGCATGAAAAACTATGACAAGCGATTTATCAGGATGATTTTTTGTATCCTTTATGCATAATTTGTATCTTTTAATCATCTAACTAAATAAGGAGCTATCTGCTCCTTCAAACTTCTGCCTGACTGACAAGCACAAGTCTCCATTAACCACAGGATTTCACAATTTGATATTTTATTGTTGTATATTAAGGCCTAGGAACATACACTAGTTTTTATATCTTAAACACAATTTTTTTTAATCTTATGAAGTGTTAACTTCAGGCTCTTGAAATAAAACTTGATAATAAATTAAATGACTGCTTTTATAATTTCATACTGTTGTGTAATCAAATGAATTAAATTAATTAAATCATATTCCAAATTTCAACTGCATATATCCAACAGCAACTGTTTACTTTAATTAAAGCTGTTAATTAGTTTTAAGAGTGTACTTACTCATTTAATTAAAGTTTAACTTCTGTTAATTAATTTGTTTAAGCTTAATTGTTTGGGAAGTAGGGGACAAGTCAGATATTTGGCTTTTAGTTTCAGTTTATAGGGATTTTCTCTGTTGAAAGAGATGGGTATCTTAAGTAATTGAGTATTATTTGAATTTTAAAATATCAAAAATTTATTTGTCAACTTCAAACTTACACACACTGTACAAAAAAAATTTTGCGTTTTTGGTGAACTTATATTTGTTAATCTAAGATAGTTAGTTGAGAAATTATTTCCAATCAAGTTAAATTTTTCATTAAAAATGGAAAAGCTTTTCATCAAAATCTTTTAGAGTCTTGTCAGTTGTTTTTAAGGTCTCACCACTCTCTCTTCTGGTTAACCTCTGGCAGATTTTTGTTATGAGAAGGTTTTTTTTTGGTGGGAGCATAATTGGCATTAAAGACGAAAAAGGTTGAAATGAGGGTAGGAAAAACACAAATTTTTAACTGTTTTGTTCTTGGGGTGGATGCTGGAATTCCTCACCTCTTTTGGGGTGTTGACTGGTATGCAATTGACATCACCCTTTAAAAGTGTTGTGCACCTATTGTGCTAGGTGCAGCAATGTATGTATTTAGCTCCGCTACTTTATTATGCCAGCCCTGACCAGACATAAGGCAGGTATGTCTGGTCAGGGCTGGCATAATAAAGTAGCGGGGCTAAGTACATACATTGCTGCACCTAGCACCGTTAACCATACTGATCTCTTGAGGCTTTCTTATGGGTTCAGCCAATGTCTACTAAAGCTCAGATCCTCGAGGTTACATTTTTCATCCTGATATTGCTCGAGGGAATTCCACCACTTCAGCATCCATCCCAGCTCTAGTAATATCCCATCTAGGGACTTGTTAGCTCAACAGGCTTGTTGCAGCTGCCTTTCTAAAAACTCCTAATGAATGGGTGCTCTCTTCAGCAAATTTTCCTGTTTTTAGCAAATGTATTTCTAACTGAGGATCATATTTTCAATATTAACAGCTTTTACCTATAGAAGACCATTTCTTTACCTCATCAACATAATTGGCAGGTAAGTAGCCTCCAAAACTTTGTATAGCATGAAATTCATTCATCTAAATTTCCATTAATTATCCCAAATTCTAACAAACATTGTAAAAAAAAAAATTAGGATAAGTGGTATCTAATATTTTGCCAATTATTCAAAAACTCTAAACTTCTCATAAAAGCAATAGATCCCATTATACTTAACATTAAATAAACTGTGTTAGTCGAGATGCAATAACACAGTTTATTTAATGTTAACGCAGTTTATTTAAGAGGTTGTAACCAACCTCTTAAATAACAATCTGAATTTCAAAAGTATAAGTGATCTCCTAGTAAATCCAGTAATGAAGATTGATAGATGATATTTAAGATGTTCGATTATTGTAAACACATTCATGTGGTGACCGGGTATGAAAGACTAGTACCAGTGTAGCTCCTGCATGGCATAAAAGGTGACTAAAATGGGTACCCAGTGATTCTGGGTAGAGCTGAATACCCTGCCCCAGGGGATTATATTAGTGGACTGGTTCTCCAGGTTGGGATTAGGCATAGGGCTAACAACTCTACCTTGTAAAAAATACTCTTGTTGTGAAATCTAAAGAAACAAATCCTGGACCACTTTTAAAGAACAGGACTGGAAAATGATCAAAGAACCTAAATTCTGGATTCTGGAATATGCTTACTCTTTATCAGAGTAAAACTCTATAAATGTTGTTTGAACAGATGGATTCTTACGGATTACACTTATTGGTAATCCAGGAAATATGATAAACTGGCAGTGGAGTTTTGAAGGGAAAAAAACATACTTTTTATAGCTGTCATGAAACAAAGCATTTATATGGAACTGGTATCATTTTCAGCTTAAAAAAAATCAGTCATTTAGTCATGGATTTTCAAGACATTTCATCGAGATTGTGCCTTTTACATCTAAGAGGAAATTTTAAGAGCTATTCTATTATTAATGTGTATGCACCAACTGAGGAAAAAGATGATGATGAGAAAGGTTCTATGATGAGCTTGACCATCTCTGGGGCTCATGTTCTAGGTATGATGTAAAAATTATTATGAGCAATTTTAATGCCACAGTTAGTTGTGAATAATAATTTAGATCAGTTATAGGAAAATACAGCTTACATGCCAACTCAAATGATAATGATAATATGTTTATCAGTTTTGTGTTTTTCACAATTTAATGATTGCTAGCACAATGTTTCTGCATACAGATATTCGTAAAATAACATAGAGATCTTCTGATGGACTCTATAACAACCAGATCGATCATGTGATGATTGACTTTAGACAGTTTTTGAACTTCTGGGTGCAAGAACTTACAGAGGAACTAATGTAGATTCTGATCTATATTTAGTGATTTACAAATTTAGGGGAAGGATTTCTTTAGTTAGGAAAGCTATATTAGTGATTTACAAATTTAGGGGAAGGATTTCTTTAGCTAGGAAAGCTAAAAAACAGTGTTCCTGTAAAGTTCAATTGTGGGAAGTTAAGAGATCCCCAGATCCGTAAAGAATATCAAAATCAAATGAAGCTGTCAATGAATTTAAAGAGAAAGCAACTGGTGGTGAAGTGAACAAAAATTGGCAACTTATTAAGAAATCTATACTATCAACAGCTAATATGCTGTTAGGTAAGGAAGAAAGATAAAAAAGAACTGATTGGTTTGATGATGAGTGCAGTAATGCGAATGAAAATAAAAATAGAGCATATAAAAATATGCTTAGTAAAAAATTCACAAGAAATTCAATTATTTGAATGTTGAGTTTACATTTTTATGGTTTTCTAAGGTTTCTCCAGGAACTTAAATAGAACAAGACCAGAATTTTCTTCTTCATTTATTTTGTTTACATTTTTATACACTCAACTATCCAGATCCAGCATTTCCCAGCTTCCTGGATTGTCAAGTTTTCACTGTACAAAAGCATAACTCTTCACAGATTACAATACTTATCACAATTCAAAATTATCTTAGTAGCAAGGCACATAAAAAAACTTAACTTTAAATATTAGAAACTGAGTCATAGAGGTCTCTAGGAATTAAATGTCTTTCTAAATCACAATGGAAAAGAGTTTAATGTTTTAAAAAGTCTTAGAAATATATCTGCCCATCACACAGTAAATGTCTATCTATAACCCAATTTAGCCTACATTCACTCCAATATTACCTGGTTCACCAAAGTGATAGCCATTGTAATAAATTGTTTAAATTTCATTTATTCTGAAAGCAACTAGATGGAGCTCTAATGCATTTCTCAAGTATAGTCCATGCTTATTTCAGTGAAAAATTACAATAAAAAGAAAAAAGAAGAAAATATGCATTACTCATGCTTCACACTGCTGTTCTGTGAACTTTGAAAAAAACAAGAAAATTAATAGGTTTTTAAGTTTTTCAGGGACATGTAAAAAATAAAGCCTATAGACTGCACTAACACTTGTTGCAAGTATTGTGCATTTGGATGACATGGCTGGCTTTATGATATGATGGTGCACAAGTGGCTGATCACTTACCTGACCACCACATTTTAAATCAAACATAGCACTAATTTTTTGATTTGGTCTATTTTATGCATCAGAAATTTTGTACAACCCATCTTGATATTTCAAGAAATACAAGTAGTTCATAGTCACTAAAGTGAAGGAATGGAACAAGCTTGAGCCAAAATGGATTTTAGGATGGATGTTAACTGAACGATGAAGTGCCTATACGCGAGGAATTAATTAAGCTTTATCCAAAAATTTTTAATTTAATTTTTGCACTGCGAATAATTACATTATCCTGCCTTTTTCATTAATAAGACAATAACAGACTAAAATTTCAAGGACCACTATGGTTTGTTGTGTATAGCTATTAGATAATATTTAATCTAAAATCTAGGATTGAGTGAAAAAGTATCAATTTATGCTGAGGCAGTCATTATCATTATGCATACCACCAAATTATACTTTAGATTCATACAAGACATTTAATTTCACAATAATGATTGCACTGTATCATATTAGCTGATTTACTTTTGATTTAAGCCAAAAAATTCCTATTTGCTTTTCGACGAAGGCAAAGACAAGAAAAATTCATTAAAATTAATAGGAGAGATAAATGCCCTAATGAATTAATATATTTTTTTTTTTCAAAAAAAACAAAATATTATTTGGTACTTTTCCGTTTTGCTGATGCAAGCAATAAAGTCGCCAAAAATGGTACAACTGAAGCCAAACGAAATATCCTTGCTAGTAACATTTTACACCTCATTTTCAAAACAAGTCGCAGCCATATCTTATCAGATTGATTGTTTCTTTCATTACTGGCATACAGTTACATAGAATTTTTATCTAGATAGTTCAGTTTTATTGCCTAAGGCCATTTACGGTAATTAGTCAATTAGGATGCAATCACATCACTTATCCGAAGGCGAAAATATAGAAAATGCAAAGTCGAGGTTTAAATTCATCAGTTCTAATGAGAATGCACTAGTGAAGTAAAGCACTGCGGTTTTACATAATTTCTGAGTAAGCTATTCATACGAATTGAAATAATTCTTGCACTTAAACTTGTATTCCAAATTAAGATTTAACTTGAAATTAACATAGATAATTACTGAGAGAATTATATTTTTGTAGTGTAGTTTACATGAGATGAGATTACTTGGGGTCACGTGATATGAAAAGGCGAATCAGGATATTGAACCATAAAAAATTCTTAAATTAATATCTTTTTACAAATTTTTTGTCTTTATTTATTTATTGGATTTTTTTCAAAATTTTAAACGATATTAAAATGTTTATGCCTTCAAAATAAAACATTATTAGAACTAACATTTGTTAACATTTTTTATGTGTATTCTGTATGTTGTTCGCCAATAAAGTCTGCTTGGCAAGATTTGCGCTGGCGAAACGGAAAAGTACCTATTATTTCTGTCTAATTAAAGATGAAAATTAAACAGTTACTCCAGAAACAAGACTCACTTTATTGGTTATAATTTTTTTTAAAACTCATATCCCAATAATAGACATAATGACATAATCTAACGAAAAATATCTTTTACCAGTAACCACATTTTCTTCCCAGCTTCAAGCTTTCATGATTACAGCTCAAACAGAACACTGATTTTTCACAGTTTTCATTTTTCAGCCAACATTCCTAATCCTGTAATACTGTTATTATAATAATAATAGCATGTCTTAAATAATATGCTGGGCTCACCAGCGGCCGAGCGGTAAAGTCGCTGAACACTGGTAGTTCAGTCCGAGGTTCGAATCCGGCGAATGGGTTGGCTGCATGGGTGTTTTCGTGGTTTTCCCCATGTGTAACATGTATACGAGCCAGTTTCCCTTAGAAAGTCCTCCACGAAGGCATCCCCCCCTTAGGCAGATAGCCCTCGAGGGCCCGAATCGCTTTGGTAACTTTAAGCTAATCATATTTAATAACCTAATTAATGCCAAATTTTGTTAATCATAATTATCTAATATTTTTCATAAATATTTTCCAAAGTAGATTACCAAAGTATAGGCTATTTTACAGTGAAGCCACACTCATGCCAATATTAATATTTTAATTTACTATTTATTTCATACTTAAGTTATAATTTTAAAAATTTGTTTCACCATACATGAGTTTGTTCACAAGACTACTGTGGTTTCAGTTAAATAAATATTTTATTTATTTAGGCAGATTTACAACACACAAGGTGCGCTCATAAAATAACTAGAATTTTTTTTAAAGGAGAAAAAGATTGTGAACCTTCAACTAAATTTATCTCTAAAATAATCGGCAAAAAACCTGTATACAATTTTTTTAACATTCCTCCAGGTTAGCAAAACACTATTTATAGGTGTTGGAACTAACTGTTTGCAAAATACACATAACAGCTGACTTAATTATCTGAGACATTTTCAAATTTCGGCCCGCCAGCAGCCGAGTGGTAAATTCGATGAACACTAGTGGTTCAGTCTGATGTTCAAATCCCACAAACAGGCTGGCTGAATGGTCATTTTTATGGTTTCCCCATGTCTAGCATGTATGCGAGCCTCCACAAAGGCTTGAGGCTTTGCCATAATCACATACGCAAAACCAAATATCATTTTCAAATTTCTGTCCTTTCATGACTATATTAAGCTTCAGAAAAACAAAAAGATCAGCTGGCAACAAATTGAGAGAATGTGGTGGGTGATTTATCACCGTAATTGAATACTTAGCAAGATACAGTTGTACAGACAATGCTGTATGAGGCCTAGCATTATTGTGTAAAAAAAAAAAAGTCCAGAATCAAAAACAAACTTTCTAACTTGTCTTATCCTATTTCTTAATTAAACAGACATCTCCCTTTAAAAATACCGATTAATTGACTGTTTTTCAGGGGCAAATTCATGATAAATAAGTCTTTTGTATTTAAAAAATGTAATCAACATCACCTTAGTCTTTGATTTTGACACCTGTGCTCCTTTTTTTTTTTTTTTTTTTGTGTGTGTGTGTGTGTGTATGAGTGTATATGTGTGTAGTATGAGAAGATGGTCCTCTCCACTGCACACTCTTTTTGTTTCTGGGTTGTATTGCACACCAGATTTCATATACCACTATTTTGAAACAATTTAAGATATTATTATCATCTCTTGCAGTAGTCAGTAAATCTTCACAGCAAGCTTTTCTGTCTTCTTTTTTCTGTTCTGTCAAAATTCAAGGTATAAACTGAGCACAAACTTTCCTCATTTTCAGATTTTAAATTAAAATTAATCTACAGATTTCTTTGTTTATCCCAAGCATATCTGAAAGTTGATGAGTTCTTATCATCCATCAACTTTTACCAAAGAATGGATTTCTCCACACTTTCCTCATTCTTTTAAGTTGAAGGGCACCCTATCTTTGGTTTATCTTCAAAACTTTTGCGTGCACATTTAAAATGGTTCTACATTTGTGTTCTTGATAGCAGTGCACCACTACATACAGTTTGAATTACCTTTAATGTTTTAGTAGCAGATTTACTTAATCTGTAATGAAATTTAATGCTATAATGATGTTCCATTTCAAAGCAAAATTTTTTTTTACAATATCTTTTCAGTAAATGAAAATGACTCAGGCATTTTGATATGCGAATGACAACATAACCAGTTTAAACTGGCTTTAACAAGAGTTGAGACATCATTCTTTCTAAACATACATTTATTCCCCCCTTTTCTTTCCTCTTTCTGTTTGTTCTTTTCATTTCTCCAGTTACTTTGCGAGTGAACCTTGTATTTCAGAGAAAACTTTAAAAAAATAACATTTAAAAAACAAACAAAACATTACAAGAATACTTACTATTATTTGCAACAGAATGTGGATTAGAAATAGATTTTCGAGAGGTATTAGAATACTCATGAGTATAATGAATTTTATCTGAACCTATAAAAAATTTAAAAGTATATTAGTAAAAACAAATTAAAGAAAAACAAAAAGGTTTATTAGTAAAAATTAAACAAAAAGGTTTATTAGTAAAAACAAATTTGTGGTTTTTAACAATAAAACTTTATAAAAAATTGAAAACTTTCAGCATCAACAGTTATAGCATATGTTATTTAATAACCATGTGTTAATATAAATAAAATGGCTTACATCTATATAACTTTATTCCATTCACATTGATTTTAAATAAATATAAAATTTATCCATCTTAACATAACAATGAATTAAAAAAGCAACAAAATATAAAGAACATATTTTAAGGTTATTAAGTCTTATGTACAAGAATATCTTTTATAAAAATACAACTACCTGCTTTGAGATTTAAAATAACAAAATTTAATTACAGTAATAATCCCTCTGGTCTGTACTGAATATATGCTTCCTACTACTGTATAGTGTGATTTCAATGAATTATACAAAAATGCTACAAATAGTGTTTGTGCAAACTAAAGTAATGCAATAAAAATTCAAATTTTCTTTTGTGATGCATAATAATATCTCGTCCAGATTTCAGAAATGTAAAATTAAAGCATCTGGAAATAATCATGATATATAGACACTGTAACAAACCATAGATACCAGAATTCATACAAATTTAAAACTAAAATAAAAACAAAATAGGATTTACCCATTGCTTCTTGCAAATGTTCAAATTTTGAACCATGATGGTACCTTGCAAGCTGCAGTTTCACATATTTTCCAGTATTCCTTAATATTTCTACAGCTTCACAATTTGAATAGCCTTTTAAAGGATGACCATCCACCTGATATAAGAATCAAAAGACACAATTTAATGATCAGAGAATGCTAAGCAAACTGCAGAGAAATTCTTCTCTTATACACTGGGAATAATCCTTTCTATGGCGACTTAATTTTTATTGCACTATTAAAGATAAGATATAATTATAAAACTTCTGAAATTATAAATTTTACAAAAACATCATTTTTTTAAAGTTTTACAAGTTATAAAACTATATATCACTCACTTTTTCTTTACTTAATTTTTCACTCCATAATAAATAACATTTATAAATAACTTAAAAAAAAAAAAAAAAAAAAAAGACTTCTAAACTACATGAAAGTTGAAAAATTACAGATTAAGATAATGATATGAATTGTGTTTGAAGCAAATTAACAAAGCAAATTAACTTTTCCAGATTTAATGTTCTTTTCTTTACAAACATAATAAAATTATAACTAAGAAAAAATGATGTTATTTAAATTAATAATATATTAATATTACTATTAATATCCAAATTAAAATATATATTGCATTTCTAATAAATTCCTTCTCTCCAGATTTTTGCATAAGTTCCAGTTATTATTTAAAAAAAAAAAAAAAAAAAAAAAAAAAAAAAAAACCCTTCAGAAAGAAAAGTCAAGAATGTCACCTCTACAACTTGATCATGCACTCTGATTTGGCCACATAGATCTGCTACACTGCCTTTGGCTATGCTCTTCACAAAAATACCAGAAATGTCTTCTATTAGAAAAAATTAATTTAACATTATTATAAATATAACAAAGTTAATTTAGAAAATAAAGAACTATTAAATAAAATCAAGACTAGATTATAATAACCATCGGTTCAAGATTCTAAAACCTTTTTATCTTATACGATTACCAAGCCTTTTTTTTATAAGCACACATCATCTAGATTACCAGACTTATCGGCTTATATTACATACTGCTAATTATCATTACAAAAGCTGTAAGACAGATTTAAACATCCCAGAACAGATTTAAAGATAAATAAATTTATTTTAAAACAATCACAGGAATCATAAATTCAGAAAAATCAAGCAGGAAAAATATGAAATAAGAAAGCCATTACTCTGTAACACAAAACTGAATAATTATTAAAAAATTATAAAGTTTTTAAATAATTAAAATTATGCCACTGAAATCAAACAATATTAAAAAAGGCTATAATTTTTACAGTAATCAAAAATTTTAAACAGGTTTTTCTTTTGTTTATAATAAGACAATGCTAATAAAGCAGATTTGTAAAATTAACAACGTGGGTTACTGGTTTTTTTATTTAATACCATACTTTTTTCAAATGAGAGATGGAATAGTATATAATGCATAAGGAAAAAAGAAACACAATATGTTCACAATTTATCTAAACATTTTTAAGTATCCAATGAATGATAAGTATATTTTCACACTGCCAATCTTATGCTCACCAATAACTGCATATTAATCAATCAAAAATTTATAAACTTTACGCAGACATACATAAAACAATATATAATTGCAGCTAACACAAACAAATAAATTAATAATAATTTATTAGAAAAATCATAGAAGATTAATGCATTTATAAATTAATTTAAAATAAAGCAGGACTATAATATAAATCATTTATATTTTTAAAGAAAAATAATCCGCATTATGTTTAAAAATATAATGTGGATCATTTATATTTTTATCTTTTTAATAATGTGGATAGTTATATTTTATTAAATGATCCATTTAATAAACTTCAATGCCTTTAACATGAATAAAAATTTTGTTAATTTAAATTGTCTGTCTCATAAATTTTTTGAAGAATTCAAAATGGCTCTAATAAGCAAATACAGATAAATAGATCAGAATGTAATCTTTTACCTCTTTCACATACATAGCCTGCCACAATTATGCCTAAACCTTGATGATCTTTAATCAAATTAACTTCAAAACTTTCCATATCTACACGTTCATTTCTTCTATACAGAACTGGATCCTTTTGCATCTGAAAATGAATATACAAACATAATAAAATGCATAATTACTTTTAAAATGCATAATTTTGTCTGCACAAAGTTCATATATGGATACAAATTACGTGTACATATGTATGCAAATTAATTAGCACAGAGCAAATTTTTCATAAAATTTTAAGTTGTTTGCCAATTGGTGCCAGGAAAGCCCTCAAAGCAATTTTACCTGCCTGAATGACATTTAGATGTTCGCTACTGTCTATTTAGAACTGATTTACACAATAAATTAGGATTACTGCACCATATTTGTTGAGGATTGAGCATTTAATTGATATTATGTGCAGTTTCAGTGGCATCATTGTTTTATTGCTTTAATATGTTTTATGCATCTGGCATCACTTTTTATTTTCATCATTCTAAAGGTTGTCATATAAACAATAAGACATACGTAAGTTCTCTTTACTTTTTTGTTAATAAAGTCCAAAATTCAATTAGCGATTATTCTGTTTGTTAATTTTATAACAGATTATGGGCCCAGCACGCTTCAACTGTGCAAATAAATTAACAATGGCTATGTTGACGTATTTGAATCCCGGATTTTTTTACTTTCATTTTTGATTTCAACACTTCGACATGAACAGTGTGTATGTAGACACTACAGTGTACCGATAGCTTTTTTTTGTTGCATATTTCCTGGTTAATGACGACGTAATATGGAAGCTAAAAATTTTGTTCAGTGTACCAAATTGGAAGGTTAATCCAACTGGACTGATTGGAAATTTGAAATAAACTCTTTATTTGTGCTCAACGATTGTGCAGGCATCTTCGATGATTCCCTTATCGAGCCAAAAGCTCCGGCAGAAAGCGCGAATGAAAAAACGATACGCGAGTACAACGAAGCCACAAAAGCGTATGCAAAAACGAATGCAAAAGCTGCTGTGATCATTCGCATAAATGTCTCACTGAATGTGTTAAATTTGATCCGTATGCATGGTAATTCTGCATTAGCGATATGGAATGAGCTATTAAGTAATTTTGAGAAGGTGTCAAGCGTGAAATTGGACACTCTTCTGCAACAGTTTTTTATATGATTGTGGGGACATTGGCATGTGCGCGACAGTTGAAAACGTACAAAAATCTATTGAGCTCACTGATGTATTGTATGCACCTAAAATTGGTACTGAATTGATTGGTAAATTTTGCCTAGTTTTCCCTGACATGCCAACCACAATGAATGGCAAAACAGAGACCTTCTTTGCAAATACTCAATGCAGTGCGTTTGCTTGTCAAGAAAATGATTGTGGGCGAAATGTGTGGCTTAAAGACGACGGAGCTACAGCACACATTACAAATTCAGCCAAATATTTTAAGACGTACCGTCACTTTAACAAACAAGCAGAAATCACAGTCGGTAACAAACAGACAATACCAGCATATGGTTGGGGGGACATTGACATGTGTGCGACAGTTGGAAACGTACAAAAATCTATTGAGCTTACTGATGTAGTGTACGCACCAGAAATTGACAAAAACTTGTTATCAGCCTCAAAGGCAACTCGAACTTTGGTTATTCAGATGATATGATTTGACGTTTCTTTCGCAAGGAGACCCCACATAATATACTTTTAGAAGCCCCATGTTCATCAAATGGACTCTTTGAACTACGTGCAAAGCCAGTCAAGTAAGGGGGTTCTGCTGCTGCAGCCTACTTGGTTCACAACTCCTTTTCCTGAGACGTCAATGAAAACAACGATAAAATTGCCATTATCACTTTGGCATCAACAACTTGGGCATCAAGGAATACAGGACGTGAAACAGTACTTGTGCCCAAATGGTATAGATTTTATCAACGATGGACTATTTTGTGAGCCATACACGTATGGTAAACAAAGTCGATGAACAAAAGTCTGGTTGAGATAATACATGCAAACTTACTCGAATCACCAGTCTTATCCAGAAGTGGGAAGAAGTACATGTTAGTGATTAAGGACGATTACTACTAAGTTTCGACATGTAGAATTTCTGAGACATAAAGACAAGGCTGTGAATAAAATCAAGCAGTTTCTTGTTCGGACCAACAAAGATGGTATAAATATAAAAGAACTGGTCACAGATGGTGGTCGTGAATTTGAGAATGATAAATTGATGAAACTGATTGATGATGCAGGGTATCAAGCTGGCGAATCACTATGCCATATACACCAGAACAAAACGGATTGGGCTGAAAGAGAGAATCGTTACAATAATGAATTGCAAGTTCGCACTATGATCAAGGATTCAGGCCTACCGCAGTTCCTATGGGCAGGAGCAGCATCTACAGCTGACTAACGTTCTTCAATCGAACCTAGACCTAAGTAAGACCACGGGGAAATCTCCTGTTTGAGGAATGGTTTTGGACGCAGCCAGCCAATCAACAGAATTCGAGATTTTGGGATCCAGCTGCATTTGTACATGTACCAAATGTAAACAGAGGTAAATTCAGATGACAAGGCTATAAAGGGCATATTACTGTTGGTTATTGTGATGACAATCGGTATTGCATTTTCATACCATCAAGAAATGATACGATAAAAAAGTGCCAATGTAGTGTTCAATGAACAGCAAATCGGCCCCTACTTCCCAACCTTCAAATTTAGCATCTAACACTGGTCTATCAAGCAGTATGAAGTTTATTTTGGAAGATTGCACACACGATGATGCAGACACACAGGGGGCTGGTGATCTGTGCACTGATGAAGATGAACCAACACAGATGACCGCGCGTACATTGCGAGAACCGTTCAGCTATTCCAACGGCCTGTCAGATTTAATGGCTACGACGATGTGTACAAACAGCATTCTGAAGTTGGAAGAGCCTAAAACATATGACGAAGCAACAAAGTCTCCTGAATATGCCAACTAGAAATGAGCCATGTACAAAGAAATGGCTTTGCATGCCGAACATGGAAACTTGTTGAGCCACCTAACGGACATAAAATCCTCAACAATCGCTGGGTTTACAAAGTGAAGACAAATCTCGAAGGCTCAATCGAGATTCAAGGCCCGTTTAGTAGCAAAAGGGTACACCAAGACGGTGAATATGAACTACGAACACACTTTTAGGATGGTGTGTTGCTATGATGCTATTCAAGCTCTAATTGCAACAGCAGCCAAGAAGAATCTCAACTTATATCAAATAGATGTGGAGACGGCAATCCTTTACGGTGACCTAACTCAGGAGATCTACATACATCAACCCAAAGGCTATAACAACGGAAGTAAGTGTGTATGCAAGATGCTTCGACCTTTATATGGCTTGAAACAAGCTGGACGATGTTGGAATGCCAAGTTTACTGACGTGCTGAAGAAACATAACATGATACAAAGTAAATCCGACAACTGCCTGTTTACACGAAATGATTATGGACATAAGATGCTGATGGCGATTTATGTTGATGATGGCATTGTCGCTGTTCAGGACAAAGCAGCATTCTTCACATTTATGGACGAGCTCAAGCAACATTTTAACATTCAAGTAACGACGTTAAATTGTTTCCTTGAAATGCTTGAAAAACAGCTCACTCTTCCTGCACCAAGAAGCATTTACAAGAAAGATATTAGAGCGATATGGAGACATCACACATCCCAGTAAAGAAGTCAAGTCTCAAGGTCAACTATGGTCAATCAAATGATGACAGCATGATCACGATCAAGGAGACGAAACCTCTCAGCAGTGAAATATCATACCGATCAGTAGTTGGCAGTTTTCTGTACTTGGCGATGGGGACCTGACCGGATTTGCTTATGCAGTGAGTTTGATGTCTCGAAAGCAAACAATCCTACAGAGATTGATTGGGAAATAGTACAGATAACATTAAGGTACCTTCGCAATATCATAGGACACCTGAATTGTGTACAATAATGAAGATGATAGAAGTTTGATGTTGTTTAGTGATGCAGATAACAACAGCTGTGCAGAAACACGCAGGTCTCGAACAAGTGTTATTTCTTTCTATGGTGGAGGTGTAATTACGTGGCGAAGCTAGCTACAGGAGGCCATATCCAGTTCGACGACAGAGGCAGAATTCATGGCAGCAGCTGATGCTACGAAAGACCTGATATGGTTGAAGAGCTTTCTCAATGACATAGCTAATGTCTCATTGCCTATCCTACAAATTGATAATCAGGGTACTATCAAGTACATCAAAAATCCAATGTTCCACGCACGCACAAAGCACATTGACCAAAGGTACAAGTTTGTGCAAGATGAGTTCTCGAAGGGACGTTTTCAATTAGGCTATGTCAGAAGTAATGAACAACCAGTAGACATTCTGACGAAGGTGCTTCCAGCACCTCAGTTACATTTCCAGAAGAAGTTGATTGGTGTAAAAACAGTCAATAAGTAAAGGTTAATCTATATGAACAATGACTACTTTTATGCTCGAAGGAGGCTGTTGAGAATCAAGCATTTAATTGATATTATGTGCAGTTTCAGTGTCATCATTATTTTACTGTTTTATGCATCTGGCATCACTTTTTATTTGCGTCATTCTAAAGGTTATCATGTAAACAATAAGACGTACATAAGTTCTCTTTATATTTTTAAGTCCAAAAATTCAATTAGCCAAAAATTCAATTCAATGCAGATTTTTGAGTCCAAAAATTCAATTCAATTTTTTTAAGTCCAAAAATTCAATTAGCCATTACTCTGTCTGTTAATTTTATGACAATTTTAAAGCTTGTTTCTGAAAGAAAAGGAAGTTACTTTTGCATACTTTTTTATACATGTTTTCCATTCATTTATTTTAGTGTACTAAAAATGTATTAACACCTTGAAAGATAGCAGAGATTATCACACTTTACAGTCACACATCCATGACTGTAACAAATATTGCTTTCATAGTTGATGTTGAAAAACTGAGCATTTCTTGAATTCTGAAGAGACAGAATGAAACTGGATCATTTTCTCCGGAAAGAAAAGGTAAATGTGGAAGGAAAAAAAAAAAAAGAGTTCCAAAATTTGATCGATTCCTACAACAAAATGGAATTATTA